ATCTGGATATTTGGGTTAAACTGTTCTGGAACAGTGTTGTAAATACAACTTAACCACTGATTTGTAGTCGTGTCCTCTTTTGGAAGACCAAACAAAGTAGTTTTCACAACGAAAAACACAGCGGCCTAGCGTGAGGGGAAGCCCTGGCTTAGCGTGAGCTGAGGCCGGGCTAGAGTGAGCTGAGGCGGCGGGGTCGAGAACGGCGAGCCCGGCGGATCCGACGACCACCTCCATCTTAGTACATCCCTGCATCTCACTTTATTCTATTCCTATTCTATCATCTATAGCACAACTGTACATACAATTTATTCTATTTTATTTTATTTTAATAACTTTTTTTTGCCCCTTCGAGTACATTTTAGCATTAGCTTCGAGTTTCCTTCAGCAATGCTGAATATATATATATAATATATATATTTAGCATATGTTTTAAATATATTTTGGCCAGGTAATTTTATTTATTTTTATTTTTTGCCATTTATGGTTTCACATACTATTTTTCAAATGCAGTATTCAATGTATACTGCACAATATGAAAATGTATTATGTTTTAGACAGATAGATATGTATGCATTACTAGTGTTTTCTCTGCTATCCTCATGTGTATCACCATCTTTAAATGGTCATGACATGAGTGAATTATAAAACATTGAAATGTTAACAAGAACAATAAAAATTTTAACCATAATCTTTTTTTCTACACCATTTTAATTCCCTATCAGGCCACTAATAAAGCTGAGCATCAGTTGGAAGAAGGATGGTGTTCCAGTGAGGAGTGGACTGAGTGATTTTAACCGTAAACTGACGGTGTTGAGTCCAGTGGTCAGTGATTCTGGCTTCTACGAGTGTGAAGCTGTCCTCCGCAGCAGCAGCGTTCCCTCTGTCAGTGCTGGAGCGTACCTACATGTGCTCGGTAATACACAGTTATACACCAGTTTTTTCTTGTAAATTTGAGTGTAAATAAATCCACAAGTGCATTAGAAATCCATGAATGACATGTTTTGTGCCATACTCTTTATTTCTGTAGCAGTTTTTTAAATGTATTTCCCCCCAAAGTGCATTACGTAACTTTTACAAGCTTTTGGAACTGTACTTTTAAGACTATAATTGAAATCCCCTCTGTTTTGATTAGCTAGCCTCACCATAATGTAGTACATGCTGTTGTACATTATGGCAGGAGATTGAATACTAAAAAAGTGCTGATATACAAATGTTCCACTGTAAAAAAATAAATAATAATAAATCATGTTCAGACTAATATTCTGCTCATTATAATCAGTGTGCTGAGTCAACCTCTTCAATTCAGCACAAAAATCGATATTCACTGAGCAACAGTGGACATGTTGAAGCTAATGAGCATATGCAGAAGAAAAGAAGCCAAATGAACAGAAAGTACCGTGAAAAGACATTGCAGCAAAGCTTGACTTGAGTGACAGTTCAATCATACATTGTGCCTGTAGCTCAAATAAAAGCACTGATGTTACAGATTATTATTTTTGCTGAGTACTATTTAGCAAGAATGCATGAAAAAAATATTTAGTAAGCCAACTAGGAATTGTATATGTGACTAGTCACTATTTACAGTGTATGTCTCCTTTAGGGCCATTTTCCTATCTATATCTCTATGGAAATGTTCTGTTGTCAGAGTGAAATCAAAAAGCCTGAACAGGATGTTTTCAAAAATCCATCAATAGTCCTATTTATTTGAAAATGTTCAATCTTGCTTCCTGTGTTGTTTGTCTGTGGTTTTTCACTCAAGTGCACATGTGGAGGTCACAAGCCTCTCTCTCTCTTGCTCTTTCTTTCCCGCAGAACCACCTCAGTTTGTGAAGGAACCAGAAAAACACATCACAGCTGAGATGGAAAAGGTAGTGGACATTCCCTGCCAGGCCAGAGGTGAGACGCCTTCTGACATCTCACCCTAATGAGGTTTTTCAAGCACCAAGTCATTTTTTTCTGTTCTTACTGACAGCAGCATGCTGCACAAAGCACCCACAGTTAATCAGAATACACAGACACACACATTTATTATTATTATTATTATTATAAAAATATATATTATATATATAATATATGTTTTTCAATTAGTTTAATAATTAATAAATTATTAATTTATACAAGAAATGAAATAAAATAATGTAAAAAATATTATAAATACTACATTTAATTATTTAAGAATTATATATGACATATATATATTAAAATATAATAACTATATAGTATATTACATTTATACATACATGTAGAAAGATAAAATGAATAAAGTTATTACAATTTATTAAATTTTATAATGTTTAATGTATTATAATAAATAATAAATATAATATATATATATAATTTATTTATTTATTAATTAATTAATTAATTATGCGTGTGTGTGTTTACATTATTTTTATAGTAATAATAGTAAGAGTAATGATATGTATACAGTATTTGTTTATATACAATGTTTATTGTTTATTAATTTATTTATTAATGTTTAAGAAATGATTTATTCTTACATAATAAATTAAATAGTATAAATGGGAATAAAATATAATATCTTTATTTATTGTATCTTTATCTTTATAAATTTATTTATACATGTAATGTACTATACATTTATTTATAAATGTAATATACTATATATTTATCATAACTTAATATACATTTTAATCTATATTTCATATATTATTATTACATTATTATATTTATTATTTATAATATTTTAATGTTGAATTCATATTATTTTATATATCGTAGTATACCGTTTTTTCTTAATTCAATTGGTCACCTTTACATATATGCCTATTCATCTCAGGTGTGCCTCAGCCTGATATTGTGTGGTACAAGGACGCAGTACCCATAAGCCCCGTGAAGACCCCGCGCTACAGAGTGCTGGCAGGAGGTAGTCTCCAGGTTAACGGCCTTCTGCCTGATGACACCGGAATGTTCCAGTGCTTCGCCCGCAACCAGGCCGGAGAGGTGCAGACCAACACCTACCTCGCCGTTACGAGTGAGTTCATCCGCCTATCCCTCTCTACACCTTTCCTCTCTGCCTCGCATGCTCTCACACACTAATGCACAAATACATGTGCACATTTATTTCCTCTGCCTCTCTCTCTCTCTCTCTGTCTGTCTCTTTCTCTCGCAGAAAGGCTTTGAATGCCATACCAACAATCTTCCAGTCTTCGTTCTCTCTCGTGTCGCTGATGTGCTTTTTGTCGGCGTGCTAAAGCTGTGATTAATACCCTGTTGTGAGGAAGAGTTGTAGGGAGGAGAGAGACCGACAGAGAGACGGGGAGAGATAAAGAGGGCTTTTATAGAGGACTGACTGAGCTTATCTTGCCGCTCAGAGACACATAGAGCTCTCTAAAACACTAAACACCAGAGCTAGCCGCTATTTACCTCTGCTTACTGCTCTTGGATATGGACAATATTGAAGTTAAAGGGGTAGTTTATCCAAAATGAAAATCTTGTCATGTCGTTCCAAACCGGTATGACTTGCTTTCTTCTGTGGAACACAAAAGATGATATTTTGGGGAACTGATTTTGTCCAAACAATGGAAGTCAATGGGGTCCAAAACAACACTGGACAATGAACTATGTGACCCTGGATCACAAAACTAGTCTTAAGTAGCACGAGTATATTTATAGCAATAGCCAACAATACATTGTATTATCGATTTTTCTTTTATGCCAAAAATCATTAGGATATTAAGTAAAGATCATGTTCCATGAAGATATTTTGTACATTCCCTACCATAAATATATCAAAACTTAATTTTTAATTAGTATTATGCATTGCTAAGGACTTAATTTGGAGAGCTTTTAAGGCGATTTTCTCAATATTTTTATTTTTTTGCACCCTCAGATTCCAGATTTTCGAATAGATGTATCTCAGCAGAATATTGTCCCATCCTAACAAACCATACATCAGTGGAAAGCTTATTTATTCAGAAATCTCAACTTTAACAAAGTGTCACATACCTGTATAAGGTTTTGTTTTCCACAGAAAAAACCTAAGTCATACAGGTTTGGAATGAAATGAGGGTGAATCAATAATGACACAATTTTAATTTTGAGGTGAACTATTACTTTAAGTGTTATCAACCGCCCACCTCCAAAATCTCAATTTAACTTGCTTGTCTACATTTCCCAGTGAATAGTTTTTTCTTCTGTTGTTCAACTTTTTGTTTCATACCTGCTTTCATTCCGTTGTTTTCTTTACTTGTTTGGTTTCTAAGCCGGGCTTTGATCCGCGTGAATGGCGTTTTGTGTGATTTCCCAGCGCTTGCGAATGCGAGGAGGTGTTTGAACTTGCGTGTGCCATTATACATCTCTGTTTCTCATGCAGTTGCTGTGCTTCTCTCACAGGCATAGCACCGAACATCACAGCAGGGCCTTCCGACAGCACTGTGATTGACGGCATGTCAGTTATCCTGCACTGTGAGACCTCAGGAGCGCCCCGTCCTGCCATCACCTGGCAGAAAGGTGAAGAACACATCCTTCATTGTCTCCACTCACACATCATTTCAGAAGAACAACTACAAAGTGTCAGCTCCCAGGCTGCACTTCACCTCAGCGCCGCTCTGTTTCTCTGTTTTACCTGCTCTGGCTGGTTATTTTCTGCCACTCTATTGCAATGTCACATTGACATCTTATACTGTTCTGATGTCATCAGGCATGAAAATGATTTGACATAAGCTACAATTATGCAAATATACATTAAAAAAAATGTATGTATGTACAATACAGTTTGGGGTCTGCAAGACTTTTTGATGTTTTAAAAAGAAGTCTCACCGAAATGGCATTTATTTGATTAAAATACAGTAAAAACAGTAATATTGTGAAATACTATTATAATTGTAACTGTTTTGAAAATGTAATATATTGTAAAATGTAATTCATTGCTATGATGAAAATTATAATATGCTGATTTGGTGGGGAATTATTATCAATTATTATTGGAGCTCATTTATTAATAATGGTTCTTATTATTACTGTTAATTTCTTGTTTTAAAGGTTCAATGAACAGCATTTATTTAAAACAGAAGTCTTTTGTAACTATGTCTATGAGTATGACTGTCATTTTTGATCAATTTAATGCTTCCTTGCTGAATGAAAGTAGTAGTTTCTTTCTTTTTAAATCTTACTTAGCCCAAACTTTGAAAAGGTAGTATATTATGGTTTCCACAAAATATTAAACAGCAAAAACTGTTTTCAGTTTTGTACTATTGATAATAATAACAAATGTTTCTTAAGCACCAAATCAGTATATTAGAATGATTTCTGAAGGATCATGCGACACTGAAAATTGGAGAAATGACCAGTGAAAATTCAGCTTTGCCATTGCAGAAAAACATTTTAAAATCTATTAAAATAGAAAACAGATATTTTAAATTAATACTATTTCAGAATATTCCTGCTGTACTGTATCTTCGAACATTACATGTTCAAATACATGAATATGACAAAACAAAAACATTAAAAACATTAATTATTTCAAACATAATCCACTGAGGGTTGTAATTTACTGTGATTTTACCACAGTAAAAGGGTGTCGTTAAACATGACACAAAGCAGAGTGTTTAAAACTCCCTTAAAAATGTTATCAGCTTTTTTGAATAGCCAATCTACTTCTGTTTTCCTTTCAAGTTTTAATAAAAGTCGTTGTAGAAGCGTCAAATACATCTTTATCCATAACTATCTGAAATATAAGATACCGTTAGCCACAAAATTACGATTTTGTAAGAAAATAATTGTATAGAAGACCAACAAATTTGAGGAGAATGCCCCTCCCCTGCACCGTGCTTTACATTTCATGCTGGAGCAGAAGGATAATAAATAAGCATGCTTGTGGCTTTAAAGGATTAGTTCAGCCAAAAATGAAAATTCTGTCATTGTTTACTCACCCGTCTGTTGTTCCAAACCCATATGACGTTTCCTGTGGAACACAAAAGAAGTTTAAAGGAATTGTCTTGGTCTCTCTTGTCCACGCAGTTATAATGAATGAAAACTGAGGCTGTCAAGCTTCAAAAAGTCCATATGACTCCTCACCATTTATTCCAAGTGCTCTGATACCATACAGCTTTGTGTGAGCAGTTGACTCAAATTTAAGTCATTTTATCCATTGAAAAAAATCGTCCTAGCTCTTTGGGTATAGCTATATCTGATTAGTAAACAAATAATTCATTTGAGTCAAAGCTTTTCAAAGAATCAGTTGCAGCTCACTGGAAGGGAACATTCAGTTCATCATAACTTAAAATTGCAGGCAGTTTCTCACACAAAACTACATCATGATTTCAGAAGACTTGGAATATAGCACATGAGTCATATTGACCACCTTTATTATACTTCCATAGAAGCTTAAAACCTCCACTCAATATCCTTCTCGCAGTATTGACATATTTTTTTTTTATTTCCCTTTAACAATAAAATAATCCTCTAAAAAAGACTTTGTGTCTTTGACTTTTTTTGAAAAGTCTATTGTGAATGCAGATCTTGTAAGCTTAAATTGGATAGTTTAATAAAGATGTAATTTAAGATGACTAATAATATAATATAATATAATGTTTTTTTTTTATTTGATAAATCGTATTATTTAATTGCATTAATAATTAAAATTGCTTATGTTTTTATTATAGGTTTATAAATATTATTTAAAAAATTATCTTTTCCTTTTATATAGGCTTTATTTTTGTAATGCAACTTGGTTTATTTTATACTGGTTTATATAAACCAAGTTGCATGTCAAACATTAAGCCTGTAACAAAAATGGCACTTATGTATGTATGTCTGGGTATGTGTTCTCCACAGGAGAACGAGTGCTGGCAAGCGGTTCGGTTCAGCTTCCGCGGTTCACTCTCCTAGAGTCAGGAAGTTTACTCATAAGCCCCTCCCACATATCAGACGCCGGCACCTACACCTGCATGGCCAGCAACTCCCGAGGCATAGACGAGGCTTCAGCCGACCTCGTGGTCTGGGGTGAGTGTGTGTGTGTGTGTGTGTGTGTGTGTGTGTGTGTGAGTGTAGATCACAGACTATCTTTGTACTTTAGGATGTCCATGTTTAAGTGTGTTTGCATGTTTGTGTCATACACCTGTGCATATACTGATGTGAATTGCCTTTGTTTTATCAAACAGCACGTACACGCATCACTAATCCTCCTCAGGATCAGAGCGTCATCAAAGGAACAAAAGCCACCATGACCTGCGGTGTGACGCATGACCCCAGTGTCTCAGTCAGGTGCGCCCACATACACTTGACTGCAAATAATTGTTGTAAACACAAAACGCTTCGCATTTTTTGAAACTACTTTTATGCTAATGCAACCATGTGGGTGGAGAAAAAGAATATTATTTAGCTAGATTTTAACATTTTTTGAAAAAAATTATGAATGTTTTATCTTCAGAATGCTTTGTAGTGCATTACTATACAGTTGCTAAGGGATTTTAGTGCATTGCTTTGCAGTCCCTAGGTGTCTGTAATATTATTTAGTCCCTAAATACTCTTAAGGTACAACTTGAGATTTTATCGTATTTACTTATTAGTAAATGTAATGATCCACAGTTCTAAAAATGTGGGTTGCTAGGGTATTTTTTGGTGATATTGGTTCTGGTTCATTGCTAGGCCACTACTGGGTGGATTCTAGATAGTGATACATTGATCATGATTTTTCATGGCCGATTCAGATTTTTTACAAGCTAATTGGCCGATTCCGATGCTGATTTTTTTTTGTTTGTTAGAGTACATTTATTTGTTGTTTATTTGTTCTATAACAAGTCAGCTGTAAAAGATCTGTAGCAATTTGAAATTAGAGGCAACCGTTGCATTTGAATCACTATCCAAACAAAACATTAACACACATGTAGCATGAGCACTTGTTTTTGAATTAGATACTTTCATAATAATTGCATAATTTTAAGATTTAAAGCAAAAACAGAGTGGTCTGACTTTAGATTTGGGAAACTATGCTACATAAGACACCTGCACAAAACCAAAACTGCAGACGACTGAATAAAAATGCAAATTCACTTTCTGACAGTAAGTGGCGCTTCTGGACCAGCAGCAATATAGCATTTCCTTGGTTCCTGCTGTAAACAAAGCGGCGCTTTTACACAAAACGATTGATCGCCTTATGTTAATTCATGCCAGCATGCTAGGTGGAGCTGACCAACAATGCATTTTTCCTGTTTCTTGTATATGGATTTAATATCGTCCACTGCTTATTAATATACAGCAAATGATCGCGCCTGGTCTGAATAGCCCAATAAGGATCTATTGTTTTGATTCAAAAGTGTCATCGCGCCATTTTTTTGCGTTCAGTGTGAAAAGGCGTGAAAAGAAAATGCCTGAAGACGGTCAGATCTCTTCAGTTATACATTCATGTATCTCCTCATCCCCAATTCAGTATTTAGGATTTTCTTCTAATATTTGGCGCATCGCGAACAGTGTTGTGCTAGTTACTAAGAAATAGTAACTAGTTACAGTTACTAGTTACTTCATTCAAAAAGTAACTCAATTACTTTGTTGATTACTTACACCAAAAAGTAATGTATTACTGTTAAAAGTAACTTTTTAGTAACTTTTTTAAAGAACGTTCTTTAATGTTCCCATTAATGCCCTTTTATGCGTTATGGTCTATACAAACACAAAACTGACTTAAAAAGAAAGTAATTTTTAAACACTATTTTATTTAAGTCAGACCAGCACAAACTGAATATATCACAAGGATTTCTGAAATAAATAACAAAACAAGCTGAATAATATATTCAGAATCAAAAACTAAAGTGGCTTCTACATCAAAAAAGCTGTTGTGTTGAGCCCTTAAAAATGTTCCTTTCACAGCTTAAGTATGAAAACTATCAACAATGTACAACATAACACAAAACATTTTGAAATAAATAAATGAAAGCAATCTGAATTATTCAGAATCAATTTCGAGAAGCTCAGCACCAAAAACTGCTATTATTGACAACCATAAATTATATGCATTAAAAAAAAACATAAAAAATATAAATGCTGTTTAAAAATGAAATCTATGAGCAAATTTCAACCTAACCACAAATTAAGAGTTGTCACCAACTTATGTAAAGTAAGATGTGTGTATTCAAAGTGCAAAATGCATAAAATTAGTGTTGTAAGATATAACAGAAATGTCACTAACTCAGCACCAAAAAACTGCTATTATTGACAACCATAAATGATATGCATTAAAAAAAAACATAAAAAATATAAATGCTGTTTAAAAATGAAATCTATGAGCAATTTTCAACCTAACCACAAATTAAGAGTTGTCACCAACTTATGTAAAGTAAGCTGTGTCCAGTGCGTCTTCGTGTTTACAGTGGTTGGGATCCACCAATCCTACAATGCGTCACTGCTGTAAGGTTAGGCTGTAGGCTACACTTCAGCCAAAATGTATTAATTTAAAAAAGTAACGGACAATGCACCATATGGTAATGGTAACACTTCGAACCAGAAAGACACAGCTTACATTTGACTAAAAGGTTTTTGTCTTTATGCTCAACTAAAGTGAAATAATGAGCATATTTCCACTTTGAGAAACTCGTCTTGCTCTCGCCTTGACTCGCCATGACTGCCGCACATACTTGAATAAACGGAAACACGCCCACAGTGCGTCTTCGTGTTTACAGTGGTTGGGATCCACCAATCCTACAATGCGTCGCTGCTGTAAGGTTAGGCTGTAGGCTACACTTCAGCCAAAATGTATTAATTTAAAAAAGTAACGGACAATGCACCATATGGTAATGGTAACGGAGTTAATTTATTTAAAAAGTAATGCGTTACAGTATTAGTTACTGTCAAAAGTAACTGCGTTACAGTAACACGTTACTGCCCAACACTGATCGCGAACAGTGATCTTGCTCTGCCTGCTACAGTATTTTCTCCTCTTTGCGTCCATCTTCAGCGTCTTTGGCCTCTGTTAGCATCCTGTTTACAGATTTCGTAATATTTCCACACAAATTACATTTTGGGAAATGATTGCAATGCAGTTTGTGTACAATTCCTGGAATAAAGGTCGGACAAAATAAAACTAAAAAACCAAAAACTCTAGAACTTGAGATGCACCAGTCGACCGGCCATAAATCGGAACCAGACATGTTTTCTCCAAACATGCCGATTCTGATTTATGGCCCGTTGACTGGTGCATCTCTAGTGCTAGAGTTTTGGGTGGTTCATTACAATTTGTTTGCTAAAAAACATTCTTATTGACAATCGAACAACTGCAAAACTAATGGTAACATAGCCATTTTGTTTGCTTGTATGTTTTTAAACAGCGTTGGTAATGGAGCACCTAGGAATGTCTTAGTAGGAATATCTCACATCCAACTTGGAATGGAATGCAAGGGTTGTTAAAATGCTTAACCCTGAATATGAGCCCAAGTGATAGTGATGCATGCCTTAGCAATATCATAGTCTGCCATGTTTCACGGGATTCAAATCCTGATGGATAAAATCATCTAGCATTAATGATGCCGCACCAGCGTGTAATCATGAGCCATTACATTATCTCAACATTTACAACCCCCGTATGGTTCCCCAGAATCCTTTGAATCTGCCTGCAATCCCAGTGCGCTCAATTGAAAGTCTACAGCTTCAACCGTCCTCCATTACAGCAGTCCGACATCGAGGAGTGATTTGAAGGCAAGATTCAGACTCTCATTAAAAACCTGCAAACTTCCCGGGTTCCTTTCAGTGAGAACCTGAACTTCACTTAGTGACGGCTTTTAAGAGTGTTTTTTTTTTCAGTGATTCAGTCAGACTCCCTCTCTGTCTTCCTCTTCCTTGTCTTTCGCTCCTCCTTAACCTCCTTACGAACACCCGTGGAGGCTTTTTGCTTATTTCGTAAAGAATGAGGGATGAGAAGGAAGGGTAATTGTGTTGGACAGAAGCAGTAATTGATAGCAGCATTAAAAGGATTTCCAACAAGCCAGGCCATGATGCAATTAATCATGAGTGTTTGTGAATGCGTATCTGTTTCCAGTGTGTGTGTGAGAGTCTTATCGATTACGCAGAGCTTGGACACATCTGTTAGAAGCTTCTGATGACCTTGGATGTTCCCTGAACTCTGTACATTGTCTTTGTGATGAATGTAATATGTGGAACTATACACTGCTTCATACACACAGGTGTCATACGGTAAATATGTCTGCCAGACCAGCGGCACAAAGGAACTACTGCTTTGCAGGCAATTAAATGATCAAATAAATCATACTATCAAATGTTGTCCTTTCCAAAAAGTTTGTTTTGGGTGGTTTCAGGGGTTTTAGATGGATGCTAGAACAGTCTGGGTCATTGCTAAGGTGTTACTAGGTAGATACTAGAACATTCTAGGTGGTTGCTATGACATTATAAGGTGGACGTTAGTGTATCAGGTTGCTAGGTGAATGCTAGAATGTTCTAGGTGGTTGCTGAGTGTTGCTAGGTGAATGCTAGAACGTTGTAGGGGGTTGCTATGCTGTTATTATATGGATGTTAGTGTATTTGGTTTCTAGGCCATTGCTAGGTGGATGCTAGAATGTTCTGGGCGGATGCTAGGGTGTTACTAGGTGAATCCTTGAGTGTTTTGGGTGATTGTAGGGGCTTTACTAGATGGATGCTAGAACATTTTATGTGGTTGCTGTGTGGTTATTAGGTGGATGTTAATGTATTTGGCTGCTATAGGTCATTGCTGAGTGGTTGCAATGGTGATGCTAGGTGGATGCTAGAATGTTCTGGGTGGTTGCTAGGGTGTTACTAGGTGAATCCTTAAGTGTTTTGGGTGGTTGCAGGGGTTTTACTAGGTGGATGCAAGAATGTCCTGGGTGGTTGCTAGGGTGTTACTAGGTGGTTGCATGGGTTTAACTAGGTGGATGCTGGAATATTGTAGCTGGTTGCTATGCTGTTATTACATGAATGTTAGTGTATTTGGTTGCTAGGCCATTGTTATGTGGATGCTAGAATGTTCTGGGTGGTTGCTAGGCTGTTAACTTGGTGGATACTAGAGTGTTCTAGATAGTTACTAGGATTTTACTAGATGAATGGAGTGTTGTGGTTGCTAGGGCATTATTAAGAGGTAACTAGGTGTTTCGAATGGTTGCTAGCTCTTTGCTAGACGGTTGCTAGGGTGTTTCTACTTACTTCTAATATGTTGCTTACAGGTTTTCAGGATTTTTGATGTAGAGGATTGAAGTAGTAAAGGGTAACCTAAATTGAAACTTAAATTTTCCCAATCAATTCAAACCCAAATGGATCCAATTACGTCCCACTGTAAAATTTTTCCACTTAATGTTCTGTTTGACTCCGAAATATGTCACATTAGAAAGTGCATTGAATTGGATTTGATTTGATCTGTAATTGAATAAATTAATAAATGGTTAAAAAAATGATGGTCACAATAATGGTCTTGAAATGAGCTGATATTTGTAGACTGTGTGTTTGTGTGTGCATTCAGGTTTGTTTGGGAGAAGGAAGGTCAGGTGGTCATCCCTCAGTCTCTGCCTCGACTGAGGCTGGATGTCAACGGGACGCTGCACATCTCTCAGACCTGGTCAGGTGACATCGGCACATACACCTGCAGAGTGACATCAGTGGGCGGCAATGATTCCCGGAGCGCGCACTTACGTGTGAGGTCAGAGATGAAAACCCACTTCCATCATCCTCTGTGCTCTGTTCCCTAGCCACGAAGTCCTTCATCTCTTCTGATCATTTCTTTTTGATTTGTTCTCTCCCTGCTCTCTGAATCGTATCTCATTCAGTTTTTCAATATCCCTATTTATCACCTGCTCTCATTCGGCCTCTTTTTCTGTCTCGTTGCCTCCATTTTTTTATTTAATAGCACAGCAGTTATTGTCTGCCCTAATTTTTGTTTATTTCTGTTCATCTTCATCTTGCTCTTTTTATCTATCAAACATATTGTGATTCACCCTGTCTCTTTCTTTTTTGTGTAATGTTCATGTCTCTTATCGATTGATGCAGCAATCTTATAGTACGGTGGCCGAGAGAGCTCAACGAGCTGCAACTTAAGAAAACACATGCAAATTGAAAAAACACCAGCAAATTAAGAAGCAGTGGCTTTTTTTTTGAGTTTCTGCTAGTGATTCCTTTTTTTATATTATTATTATTGAAGATATAACATTCACATTACAGTCAATACAGTCATAGCAATAAATTACATACACAACCAGAGTTGAGCTCTCTCGGCCACCGTATTATAGTAATTTTATACTCACTCATTCATTTCCACGTTTCACCACTGTCTAACATTCCCATTCTCTTAAAACTCTTCTTTTCTTCGTGTCTTATGTAAAGAAACGATAGTGAAAAAGTGGTATTCTGTACTTAATGTGAACTTGTGGAAGTCGTGGCCTAATGGTTAGAGTCGGACTCGTAGCCCAAAGGTTGTGGGTTCGAGTCTCGTACCGGCAGGGATTGTAGGTGGGGGGAGTGAATGTACAGCACTCTCTCCCACCTTCAATACCATGACTGAGGTGCCCTTGAGCAAGGCACTGAACCCCCAACTGCTCCCCAGGCGCCACAGCAAAAATGGCTGCTCACTGCAAGTCGTGGCCTAATGGTTAGAGTCGGACTCGTAGCCCAAAGGTTGTGGGTTCGAGTCTCGTACCGGCAGGGATTGTAGGTGGGGGGAGTGAATGTACAGCGCTCTCTCCCACCTTCAATACCACGACTGAGGTGCCCTTGAGCAAGGCACTGAACCCCCAACTGCTCCCCGGGCGCCACAGCAAAAATGGCTGCTCACTGCACCGGGTGTGTGTTCACGGTGTGTGTGTGTGTGTATTCACTGCTGTGTGTGTGCACTTTGGATGGGATAAATGCAGAGCACTAATTCCGAGTATGGGTCACCATACTTGGCCGCATGTCACTTTCACTTCACTTCATGTATATGTTGCATTTACAGTTGCTGATGAGAGGTTGTATCTTCTTGTTAAATTCAATAATGTTGTTAAAACTTGACAACTAGTATTTAACATGGATGGTTCTAAATGATTCATTAATGTACTTGTTTTATTCAGATATCATGGAGTGCACATTAAATGGCCCTGAAAAGTCAAGACTATCTCACGCTTTTCCATTTTAAATAACATATTGCCCACAGGCAGTTACCTCATGCCCCTGAGAACCCCAGCGCAGTGTTAAGCACCACAGAGAAGAGAGCTATAAACCTGACATGGGCCAAACCTTTTGACGGGAACAGCCCTCTCATCCGCTACATTCTGGAAGTGTCTGAAAACAGTGAGTAAAGACTTCATATGTGGATCATGAATCTTGGGCAAGTTGTGTGAAATTGATGTAGTTACCTTGTTATGAATTTCAATGATGATGTTCTGAAAGTCATAATGTGAAATAGAGCAAGTTGTTATTATTATTATTATTATTGACAAAATAATGTATTTCAATTGTATGTTAATAATAATAATAATAATAATAATAATAATTATTATTATTATTATTATTGTTATTGTTATTATTATTGTTGTTGATGTTATACTAATAGTATTATAATAATATGAGCAGAATAATTTGTTTAGGATAACAACAACAACAAAATAAGAATAAGAATAATACAAGTGTTTATTATTATTATTATTATTATTAATGTTTGTAATATGAATATAAATTATTTGTTTATCATAATTATAGCATTACTATTATTATTATTATTATTATTATTATTATTAAAGCCATACAATTGATATAATTACAATACAGTATAATTGTCTATAATAATAATAATGTTATTATTATTATTATTTAACATCATTCAACTGAAATGAACATCAATTAACTTGTGTATAATAATATCATCATCATCATAATCATAATCATAATCATAATCATAATTTAATATGAATACAAATGTTTGTTTATAGTAATAATAATAATGTTGTTATTATTAAATGTCATTAAAATAAAATTAACATAATTATTATTATTAATACTACTACTAATAATAATAATAATAACAATAACAAAAATAATGTAATATGAATACAAACGTTTGTTCATAATAATAATAATAATAATAATAATAATAATAATAAACAACGACCATAGTATTTTTTGTACTATTTAATATTATTGTTTATTATAGGGTTCAGCAAACAAACAAACAAACATTAAAAAGTAATTGGTGCTACGTTATCAATTTTTCATTTTACCATATTGATGTATGACTTTCTGTGTTTTTTGAAGCACTGGTACATAGAACAATTGAACTTGAAAGGCTCTTCAGTGGCTTCATAGGACCTTAAGAAGATTGTCCTATGCAAAACCTCTTTTTTAATGTTGGTTTAGTTCTTCACCTAGCTCATTATGTATTCTTCATTATCTGCTCTACACAGATGCTCCATGGACAGTCCTGTTGGCCAACATCGAGCCGGAGTCGACTGCTGTAACGGTCAACGGGCTCATCCCGGCGCGCTCATACCAGTTCCGCCTGTGTGCTGTCAACGACGTTGGCAAGGGCCAGTTCAGCAAGGAGACTGAACGGTGAGCGGATCGCAGGATCCTAAAGCCTGCCGAGTATTACAGCTGTGCTCTGTTTGACCATAAAGATAACTCTATCACTCTGTCACAGCATGTGAATATTGCCTGTGCTCTCGTGGGACAGTGTCTATAGGAGGATTTATCTGTCTGAACACAGTGTGTGTATGGCTGTATTTTTCTGGGATGTGTTTATGTGTGTCAGTGTATCTTCCAAGGATCAGTGTAATCAAAGCCCTCGGCGTGTAAAGAAAGCTTTTCGACACCTAAATTAGACATTCAGCAAATTCCCCCATCAGAACAGACACAAATCCCTCTAGTTCTCCAGAGGTTTGAGACAAACCTCTTCTAGCCGAAATAATCCAAACTCTGAATATACAGGTGAAAACCGGCTTACATAAAAGAGAGAGATCATATTATGACTATATTACACCTTAGACGGTATATATCAGAGATGAACCATTTGCATTATAATGAATAGGAGAAACTGGCTAGAATGAAAGAAGTCCCGCCTTCCAAGAGCCAATGGCTAGTCAGCAGTTTCATTGTTTGGTGTTTGTGATAGTTCCAGACTGGACCAATCTGAAAAGAAAAAGAAAAGAAAACTGTTTTGAATGTTATTTTAACCTAAAAACTACGTTTACGATACCAATGTCTGTAATGCTAATTTGAAATTGCGTTTTTGCTGTGAACTGACTTTCCTTGAAAAAGACTTTGGTTACATCTGAATCTCCTGGTCTTAATTTATATTAGACAACATTTTGTAATGTTATATTAGCATTTTTATAATGTGAATTATTATCTTGTGTTAATCTTTAAAAAAATATCTCTAACCCTGATGTCACCAACCTGCTGCTGGAGGATCTCATCATCTGGACGAATTATGAAATTGAGGTGGCGGCATATAACGGAGCTGGACTGGGTGTTTACTCCCATAAAGTTACAGAGTGGACACTCCAAGGAGGTGAGGGTTTAGATCCCATTCAAAAGTTTAAGATCAGTAAAATTGATTGATTTTAATACTTTTATTCTTAAAATGTTTGAAAATGACAGTAAAGTCATTCATAAAACAACTTAAGGTTTTTACTTCAAATAAATTCAGTTTTTTTTTTTACTTTTTACGTTCATCAAACAATCTTGGGAAAAAAAAGTATATATCACAGTTTGCAGAAAAATAATAAACAGCAGAACTATTTTTAACATTGATAATAATAATAAATGTTTCTTGAGCACCAGATCATATTAACACATTAGAATGAAAAAATGGCTGGGGAAGAAAAAACGGAAAAAATGGCTCACAGAAATAAATTATATTTTTAAATATATATTAAAATAGAAGACAATATTTTAAAATGATACTAAAGTTTCACAATATTATTGTTTTACTGTATTATTGATTAAATAAATGCAGCCTAGCTGAGCATAAGATACTTTCACAAACACCAAAAAAATCTTACAGAATTTGACCATCTGCTAATCTCAGGTATCGTCTGACCGGTCTGCCTGTGGATATCCAGTATAAAAATATCTCTAACCCTGATGTCACCAACCTGCTGCTGGAGGATCTCATCATCTGGACGAATTATGAAATTGAGGTGGCGGCATATAACGGAGCTGGACTGGGTGTTTACTCCCATAAAGTTACAGAGTGGACACTCCAAGGAGGTGAGGGTTTAGATCCCATTCAAAAGTTTAAGATCAGTAAAATTGATTGATTTTAATACTTTTATTCTTAAAATGTTTGAAAATGACAGTAAAGTCATTCATAAAACAACTTAAGGTTTTTACTTCAAATAAATTCCGTTTTTTTTTTACTTTTTACGTTCATCAAACAATCTTGGGAAAAAAAAGTATATATCACAGTTTGCAGAAAAATAATAAACAGCAGAACTATTTTTAACATTGATAATAATAATAAATGTTTCTTGAGCACCAGATCATATTAACACATTAGAATGAAAAATGGCTGGGGAAGAAAAAACAGAAAAAATGGCTCACAGAAATAAATTATATTTTTAAATATATATTAAAATAGAAGACAATATTTTAAAATGATACTAAAGTTTCACAATATTATTGTTTTTACTGTATTATTGATTAAATAAATGCAGCCTAGCTGAGCATAAGATACTTTCACAAACACCAAAAAAATCTTACAGACCTAACTAGGGTTGGGTATCGAGAACCGGTTCCATTTTAGAACCGGTTCCAAATTTCCAATAATCGGGTATTCGATAAGACATGTGCATTTTGATTCCACTTAACGATTACCGCGTTCACATTTTAATGTGATTTTAAACTATTAAAAGTGCAGGAAGGGAAAGAACTTGCGCACACATCTGAAGCGCGAGCACAGAGAACAGTGGTCCCGATGCAGGTTCCCCACCTGTGTCCGTTCTTGAACTGTTCAGTACATTTCCACAAAGGTTGTTCCGGGCCAGAACTGACTTCTCTTTCACATTTATCGACCAGTATGCACGAAATACGTCAGTATATCATCATAAACACAGCCGTTTTTTTGTCTTACATGAACGCAAACAGATGAGAAAGAAAACACATGTGTAACAGTATTTTTAGATCTGTGTGTGTTCGATGTTAAAGAGACAGTCGTCTAATAAACGTGCTGCCTATCATTAATGTTAATCTAAGAACAAAAGAAAATCATTGACTGAATGTCTTTCGTAAATTTAATGAGGATTAATCAATATTTTATTTATGAAAAGAAAACTATACAGTATTTTTTAACTTTTTATTTCAAAATATATACCTGACATTTGTTCAGTTTTATTTATTTATGTTATTGCTAATTCATTTGTCTAACAATTTAATGTTTGAAATTTGTATTAGTCTAGTTGTTTTTTGTCCTGTGGTATTTTTTTGTGATAAAACCATATACATAAAACAGAATAAATATGTTTGACATCTAAATATTTGACTTAAAATTTGTTTAATGGATTTTTTTATCTTATTGGAATTGAAATTAGGAATCGATAAGCAGAATCGGAACCGGAATCGGTCAAATTAAAACGATACCCAACCCTAGACCTAATGTATGTTTTTTTATCATTAATTTGTGTATTTACTGATTTTTTAGTGCTTTTTAAGGAATTAGGTATCAAAAAATATTTACTAATAATTATTAGTAAATGGCATTATTTTAAACCTGTATGTTTTTTTTTTCAATCACGAATGGATCATTTATGCAAAGTGTTCTCTTAGCTCCTTTCCATGAAATATTGGTTTCAAAAGGACAAAAAAAGTACTTCATGCAACTTGTGCACTAAATTCAAAGTTTTGTGAAGTCGTACAATAGTTTTGTGTAGCAGACTAAAATTGTAATTGTTATTTACTGAAAATCTAAGTTTGAGGTCGCTGTGAACCATCGTTGAGTAAAGAGCAGTGTAAAAAATCTTCAAAATTCATCCATCATGAAATTCTCACGCCATCTATAATTTGCGAAGTCAGAACTAATGAATCTTCTCCGTCTATTTCCTGGGGTGTAGCAGCCGAAATGGGTTACCAAAAAAAGAAGTCTCATTTGTTTCCGTCTCTGTCTTCCATTTTCCATTTTACCTGTCAACTAGTTCCCACCATCGCTCCAGGCAATGTGAAAGCCGAGCCCGTCAACTCCACCACAATACGCTTCACCTGGACAGCCCCGAACCCGCAGTTCATCAACGGCATCAACCAGGGCTACAAGGTAAACGCTGAAGGAATGAGAAGAAATCTGCACTCAGACCTGAGCTGCTGAAAATGCATTAAATGCAGCTTTTATTTTTAGGTTATGTAGTCTGTTGATGAGATTTCATGCAAGGGTAGCCAAAGGTCTCTTTCAGCTCCTATACGCTCATTCCTTTGTTTTTGTTTTTGCTGAGAGATCCGGAATTGATCCTCCCATCACTCTGCTTCTTTATAGCCAGACTGTCTGCGGACAAAATTGTTTAGGACAATTACAAAATGGAGACAGTCAGCCGGACACATTAGTCTTAATAGCTTATTAGCCAGGTTTAAGCTCGGTCCCAGACAACAACAGCTGGGATTGGAGAGAATATTTGTCGGCAGGCTTTTTCTTCTCTCTGTGGACTCATTGGAGAACAATCTTATAACTCTCATTCCCTCTTTAGTGCCCTCAGAGGAGAGTTTCAAGTGTCTATAAACTTTGAAATGGCAAATCATCCACAATAGTATTGAGAAAAGGGAGGAAATCTGTGACCGTTCAGCCATTCTCAGTGGAGAATAAATCTAGCGCTCTGATAGTGTTATTTGAACACCATTATGCAAATTAGGCATTGGCGCAAACATGCCCACAAAATGTGTGTCAGTGCTGTTCAATTTTGCACACCAGTTCTAGATTATGCAGGTTATGGAAGATGTCATATTTAGACTCCTTTCTTTCTTTATATATTCTTTCTTTCTTTTTTCTTTCTTTCTTCATGTACGTATATATATATATATATATATATATATATATATATATAATTATTATTATTATTTTACTTGACCCAGGCATCAGAATATGCTTAAAAATGCTAAAAAAAATAATTGCTTAACTAAAATATGTTGCTCTTCTCCATTCTGGAGGATGCAGATTTTTTATTTATTTATTTTTTGTATTATTATTTACCTTTTTTTTTTTACTATCATTTTACTTCACTATTGTGACCCAGACATCAGAATTAGCTTAATAAAAGTATAGCTTAAAAAATAGCTTGACTAAAACATTATTTTGGTCTTCTCCAATCTCGAGGATGCAGCGTTTATTTTATTTTATTTTATTTTATTTTATTTTATTTTATTTTATTTTATTTTATTTTATTTTATTTTATTTTATTTTATTTTATTTTATTTTATTTTATTTTATTTTATTTTATTTTATTTTATTTTATTTTATTTTATTTTATTTTATTTATTATTTTTATTATTATTATTATTATTATTTTTACTAACTATTATGACCCAGACATCAAAATTAGCTTAAAAATGCTTTTAAAAAAAAACAGCTTGACTAAAACATTATATTGCTCTTTTCCATTCTGGAGGATGCAGCATTAGAACTATGTACTATTTAAATTTTTTTTAACTATTATTTTATTTCACTGTTGTGACCAAGACAATAATAATCAACTCAAAATGCTTGATTTAAACCATTATTATTGGTCTTGTCCATTTTTATCAATTCTGGAATGATAGCTAGACAATGTTCAAAACAATAAGGAAACAAGATAATAATTAATAATATTGAAAAATGAACATAAAAAGTAAAGTAAAAGAAAGAAAGTAAAGTATAAAAAAGTAAGTCAAAGTAAATAAATATCCAAAACTGGATACTTTATCAATCTCTTGCTCTTTTTAGCTGTTAGCATGGGAGCCAGGAAAGGAAGATGAGATGACGATAGTGACGGTTCGGCCGAACTTCCAGGACAGCGTGCATGTAGGCCACATCACCGGCTTAAAGAAGTTTTCCGAGTACTTCACCTCTGTGCTCTGCTTCACCACACCAGGAGATGGTCCTCGCAGTCCTCCACGACGTCTGCGCACTCATGAAGACTGTGAGTGCCTGTTCCAACACACACACATTCACACTTTACATGGTTATTGTTGATGTTCAGGGCTTTCCACTTCAAGAACCACTGGAAGCAGGATGACCTCTGACCCTAGTTTTAATGGAAACCACACTCACATCTCACAGTCTGATCTCTGGCCTGTATTTTCAGCTCCTGGTGCTGTGGGTCACCTGAGCTTCACTGAGATTCTAGACACTTCTCTCAAAGTCAGCTGGAGAGAGCCCAATGAGAAGAACGGCATTCTGACTGGTGAGATATCAACAAATATTTCTGTTACGGAAATTATATTCGATCCATTGATGCCTTGTAAAAAATCATAGATTTTTTCTTATATTGTTTATAGAATTTTTATTTATTTATTTATTTTATTTTTTTACTATTTGAGGATTTAAACATCATATATTAATCGTATATATAATATTTAATGTATAATGTATTTGTATTATTAATATACAATGTATTTGCTAGTTTTTCTTTTTTATTTATATCATAAATGTATTAATACATGTAATAACTTTCAAATATTTTATTTAAATTATATTTAATTATTTTATTTTATATTTATTATTTAATTATATATATATATATATGTAAAGAGCAAATTTTGCAATATACAGTATGTGTTTGTATTCATTTAAAATAATTAAAAATAATTATTCCCAAAATATTTTCAAAGGTTTACTCCTCAATTTCTAGACCACAACACTAGTTTAATTCTCTGAAATTAATATACAAATTTTGCAGTATACAGTATGTGTTTGTATTCATTTAAAATAATTACAAATAATTAATCCCAAAATATTTCCAAAGTTAACTTCTCAATTTCTAGACTATAACCCGAGTTTAATTCTCTGAAATTAATAAGGAATATTTAGTTTATTTATGTTTAATTTCATACAATTTATATTATAATATAATATAAAATATTTCATATTTGTTTCCTAGGGTATCGTATATCATGGGAGGAGTATAACCGTACTAACACACGGGTTACACACTACCTGCCTAATGTTACTCTGGAATACAGAGTCACTGGACTGACCGCTCTCACCACTTACACCATTGAGGTGGCTGGAATGACCTCCAAGGGTCAGGGTCAGCTGTCATCTTCAACCATCTCTTCAGGAGTACCGCCAGGTAAAGCACACACATGCACAAACCAGTCAAAACATCAAACTAGTAAAATCAGACCGGAAAGGCTGAACATGGTCTAATAGGGGAAGAGGAAACAACATACTCTTTCCTTAAGTTCCCCTGAACCAGCTTTAGACCACCACTGGTTTTAGAGCTCCCATTAAAGGACTACAGAGGCTTATAAAGTTAAACATCGAAGCCCTCGTTATTGCATCGATGCAGCACCAACACATGCAGCCCAGAGCCGCAGAATAACTGACAGGAGGAGGCCCTGGCTGCGTGGAGTTCACGATTACGACTCCCACGACAGAGATCGTTTCTTCTTTATTGCTTCATTAGACACTCTGTGGCTTCCAGACTCAAACCATGTACGAGTCGCACACATTCAAAAGTAGATGTAGACGTATAAAGATGTATGAATCCTGAACGGTCATATTCTCGCATCATGTTACCCTTATTACCCAAAGTTATGCAGAGCCTGCTGCTTTCATGACATCCCCACAGTGTTTTATTGGAGGCATATTTCACCTTCTGATAATAAGCTGGGTAGCAGCTGTGAGTGTGGAATGATTTGTACCAAAGTTCTCATTCATTTCTGCCTTTCACACAGACATTGAACTGTGGGAAAACTGTTTTTAAAGTATATTTAGAGCTGCTTGCTATGGTTGCAGTGTAACAACAACCATAGATATGTATAGGCAGATGCCACATTCAGTCAATTTGTCGTCACTCACAGTAAAAATCAATGAGTTTTCCAAGATGCCACAACATTGTGCAGCCTCTGGTTGTAAAAACCAACATTTAAATTCCTGAAGTAATGAGATTAATTTCACAGGTAAGACTGGCCATTCATTGTTTATATCTCTGTATACAAAGCCTCATTTTACCAAAAGGGGGAGCCGTAACACAGCCAAAAATGTTCACAATTCAACATTTCTTTAACGTTTGGATCCTGAAACAATCTGTTCTACTCAGGATTTATTGCCAGATTATATTCAGGACTAAATTAAAAAAAATTAATGTTTTGTAAACTAAAACTCACTTTTCTCTCTCCCAATACAGAGCATCCTGGGCCTCCCACAAACTTGGCCATCTCAAACATTGGCCCTCGATCGGTAACCTTGCAGTTCAAGCCAGGATACGACGGCAAGACCTCAATTTCTCGTTGGCAGGTGGAGGCCCAGGTGAGTCACTCGTTATTCACGAGGGTGAAGTTTTAACATTGTTGATTTGATCTTTGAATGAACCTCTCTTTTGCATGAATCTCTCTCAGGTGGGTGTCATTGGAGAGAATGAGGATTGGGTGATGGTCCATCAGCTGGCCAACGAGCCTGATGCTCGCTCTCTGGAGGTCTCCGGCCTCAACCCCTACACCTTTTATAGGTGACGCATACATTTATTTATTTATTACTTACATGAATATATTATCAAATAAGGCCTCAAGGAGGTGTAAAAAAATTGTTCCTTTCTGAAAGGTCTTCTTAAAATCAAATCATAAGTGGTCAGAGAAGACACAGTTGAGCACTCGTTATTCTCGTTAAACAGTAATCAGTCTTGCTTGACCACTTGTGTTATTTTAGTATTATTTTTATACTGTTATAGTATATATTAATATTTTTACATTAGATTTTGTTTTATATTTTCAGGCTTTATTTTAAATTTAGCACAATGAATAATTTAGTTTTAGTAGTTTTGTTCTATGTTTTTTAATTGTATATATATATATATATATATATATATATATATAGTGTGTGTGTGTGTGTGTGTGTATAATTTTAAATTGACTAAGTTTTAATTTTGTAATGGGCTTTTATCATTTTTATTGTACTTTTCAATATTTCTATATAGTTTTAATTTATTTTTATATCAGTTTTAGTGATTTTAGTACTTATTTAATTCACTAATGAATAAATACATATCTTAGTATTAAATGAGTAGTTGGTACTTTATTTACTTCATTAATACTTATTTCAGTTAGTTGGCAAGGCACCATTTTGTCACGGTCCGTGTGGAGAGATGAGGTGAGGACTCAAAGATGCAGTAAATGGGCTCTTTATTAATAACAAAATAAACAGGCAGGAAGGCCTGCGGCCCGTTCTTCATACGTCGCTAACTCGGTTAGCTAGATTTGATTGTTGATGATTTGGCATGATCTTGGATTGTTTGGTTCTTCGAAGCTCATCCCGGAGTTGCTGTCATAGCAACAGGTCCGTAAGCTTAAACCTTATTTAGGAGACTTAGACTTATTTGAAATAGACTTATTTCATGTAAACAGGATTAGATTGCATCTTTTTAAGCAGCATTGATACTTAAAATCTGTCCGTTACCACCACTACTTTATTACAAGAGTACCCTACTAATCCAGGGACGATAATTTAAAATAATAATCATTTAAAAATGTATTTAAAGATAATATAATAATGTTGTGTAGTTATAGACACAGCCAGTTTTACTCACTGAAAGATGTATTCGTCATAAAATAATTACTTCGTAATTGTATTACAGAGTCTTACACAGATAATGTAGAGTCGTGCATTAATTTGAGTGGTGACAGCTATTATGGGAGTGGCTTGATGGAGCGCAGGAGATGCAGATAACATGATTTTGACCCTTAAGAAATTGTAATTAATGCTGTCACGGAACAAATCTGTTCAAATGTAAAATTGAATTTGAAATAGGAATTGCTAATTACTACATTGAAATAAAAATGTAAAGCCTGTACAAATATTAGAAATCGTGAAGCTAAATAATTGGGAATCATGTAAAAAATGTAAATAAAATAAAAACAGTGCACATTTCATTTATCGATTATAACATTTATGTCGTTTTGTTCGCTTGTCTGTGTCCTTATAAAGGTCCAGAAATGTGTCAAGTTTTTTGTCAGGTGTCTTTTTTAATTATATGATGTCATTACATTGCGGTCTTGCCGCCAGCCAATCGCTGCATTGCTGACCGTGGTTTCGAGTATTGATACATAACCCCTTTTAAACCAACCCATGAACGTGCAATTATCTCAGATAACTCAATCCAGCCACACTAATCATCAACAACAGGTGCATTCAAAGAACCGAAATAGCCAGATCCTGATTAGCGCGATGATATCATCTTGGATGTGACATTTCATCTTGGATGACATAAATGACGTACGACGACCGGGCCCCAGAATAAAGAGCACACAGCCACATCCAACCACATATGACAAATAACGAAACAACACAGGGCTGCAAACACAGGGAGAAGTAAGGCAGGTAATGAGGGAGACACAGGTGGAATAACTGAAACAATAATGAGGTAACAAGATGGGTGGGGTCAGACAATCGATAGGAGAAAGCACATGCCACCAAACAAACATGACACAAGCCATGTGCTTACACAAACACACAGTGTCCTCTGGTGGCCATCCTGGGCACACCAGCTGAAGACTGTGACACATTTCAAATTTTCAATTACGTTTTTCAAGTTGTCATCGAATATTTATATTTAATTTGTTTATATTTATTTTTTAATTTCAGCTTTATGTCCATTATTGAAAAATATTTTTAATAGTTTACATTTAGTTTTAGTTAACAATAACAACACTGCTTATCATTAGACCACCCTTGAACAATTTTAATCTAAATCAGGCCATTGAAATAAGTGTATAATGGGATTTGCAGGTTCCGTATGCGTCAGGTGAATATAGTGGGCACCAGTCCACCCAGCCAGCCTTCCAGAAAGATCCAGACCCTGCAGGCTCCTCCTGATATGGCTCCTGCAAATGTCACCCTGCGAACGGCCAGCGAAACCAGCCTCTGGCTCAGATGGGTGGTATGTTCTACAATCAACACAGTACACACACAGTGTGTGGCACTGCGACTGTTACACAAACTCAATCTCTCTCTTTTTCGCCTGTTGATCAGCCTCTTCCTGAATGGGAGTACAACGGGAACCCAGATTCGGTGGGTTACCGTGTGCAGTACAGCAGGACCAGAGCTCAGTCCAAATACCTGCTGCACGTCATTGCAGATCGCCTGGAGAGAGAGTTCACCATCGAGGACCTGGAGGAGTGGACGGAGTATGAGGTCAGAGTTCAGGCCATCAACGGCATTGGAGCAGGACCCTGGAGTCAACCCGTACGGGGAAGAACCAGAGAGTCCGGTAAGGACAAACCAGTAATCTTGTATTTTTTTATTCATATTTATTTATTTATTTTATATTCTACATATTGTACATTTACACTTTTTTTTACATGTAATATTTACAAACAGAATTAGTTTACTATATTTTGATAAGGGCATTAAAAATTGTTTGTTATTTTCTATTATTTTTATTATTATTATTGAACATTAGGCATGCTTGGTATCATAATGTAAGTAACAATAAAGATAAAAACTAATAAAAATGACAAAAGCATGTAACAAATTACTAAAACTAAAATTTGAAATGAAAACATAAAATAAATACATTAATAGCATATAAATAATACTAAAATAACACTGATATATCTGTTATTTTATAGCTTCAAGCGTCAGATTTTGGAGCTGGAACTGTCCATTTTATAATATGGAATGGAAAAACTTTTCATTGATCACATGTTGAGGTTAATGCATGTCTTAAATCATTCATCATATATAGTACGTGGGCACATGATTTCCTGTTTAAACAGGCTTAAATGGGCACAGATCTGCACACACATGCAAGCCTTTTCATTCCTCCTGTGCCATGAAAGAGAAGCAAACACACTTCCTCTGGATCACCTGTTTTTCTCTTTCTGCTCAGCTTGTTCTCCATGGTTACCAGAATTCAGTGAAATGGGTTTGGGATTAATAAGTGGGTGCTGAGGAAATTGGTAACGCATGGGGCTGTACACATGACTCCCCTGTTTTTCTTTAGCCAATCATGCATTCTGTGTCCAGGGATTTGTGCCGGAGAGTGATTCTCTGTGTTACTCCCCCAATAATGGTCAAAATCTGGTGTCTTTCAGGCTTGGTGTGTTTCTGGTGTCTTAATCCTCCCCCAGCACACACACACACACACACACACACACACACATATAGATATAAGGCACACATTTCAACCCCATTAAGGACTTGGAATGCATAGACGTATACAGACGTATACATTTAGCCATATATGCCTTTAGCTAACACATTCATCTGTATAAACCCATCTGTCTGCCTTTGTTTTAATGCAGTCCCATCTTGTGGCCCCACGAATGTTTCTGCATTTGCCACTACCTCCAGCAGCATTCTGGTCCGCTGGTTTGAAGTTCCCGAACCCGACCGGAATGGACTCATCTTGGGCTATAAGGTCTGTGAACACTTTCAAGTGAAAAAAAGACCATTCATTAAAACTAAGCTGCAAAAATGACAAATGAAATTAATACATTTGAATACTTGTCTGCAAAACACATGCAAAACTCATGCAATTGAAAGTGAATGGTGGAAGTCTCACACATTCAAAGGAAACTTCCGTAAGGCAAAATAATTTTGATACGTCTCTTTTTTATATTTTCAGGTGGTGTATAAGGAGAAGGATTCAGACTCTCCTCTTAAGTTCTGGATGGTGGAAGGAAACGCCAGCCACAGTGTTCAGCTGACCGGACTGGGAAAGTATGTTTTGTACGAGATCCAGGTGCTCGCCTTCACCCGCATTGGAGACGGCCGACCCAGCACTCCTTCAATCCTGGAGCGAACCCTTGATGATGGTGGGCATTACAATACACAAAAAAACAAACAGTTGCCTTATTAAATAATAAGATGTTTTTACAAGTTTATGATGTTCTTATTTTCAGTGCCCGGGCCGCCGGTCGTCATTCTTTTTCCTGAAGTCCGGACCACCTCGGTCAGACTCATCTGGCAGCCACCTTCCCAGCCCAACGGCATCATACTGGGTACAAGAGTTTGTTTGCTTCTTTGTGCATTTGACTGTGCATGCATTTCATTCTTCTGGTGTTTATACTTACATGCTTGTCTTCTGAATGACCTCTTTTGACCATCAAGAGATGAAACGTCCCTGAACACTTTCAACAGTGACTGTCAACGTGCAAAAAAAAAACACAGAGTATCACATTAAAATAATTTATCCTATTTTTCACCCATATTTACACTACCTTTCCAATGTTGGGGTCGGTATGATTTTTCATTTTCTGTTACTGTATGTTTACCAATGCTGCATTTATTTGAAAAAAGTACACTAAAACAGTAAATTGTGAAATATTATCTATTTGTATAATATCTGTTTTCTATTTAAATACATTTTAAATTTAGATTTTTGCTATGATGGCAAAGCTAAATTTTCTGCAGTCATTACTCCAGTCTTTACCATCCCATCCGTGATCCTTCTGAAATCATTGTAATATGCTGATGTGGCATTCAAGAAACATTTCTCATTGATATCAGTTGTGAAAACTGATGTGCTGCTTAATATTTTTGTGAAAATTGTAATATGTTTTGTTTTTCATGATAATTTGATCAACTAAAAGTTCAAAGAACAGCATTTATTTGAAATAAAAATATTTTGTAACATTAGAAATGTTATTACTGTCACTTTTGATCAATTTAATGCATCATTGCTGAATAAAAATATTAATTTCCTTAAAAAAATCATACTGACTCCAAGCAAAAAATAAATTAAAAAATAGTGTAATTGCTTCCACTCTTAAGCGGCCCCATTGTAAACAAAATCACATCCGTTTTGCTTTTGCTCATTAGCTTGCATTTCCTCTCATCAAGAAACAAGCCAAATGTGTTACATTTCCTCAACTGCACGCAAGGAAAAGCACAGTTTGCCCTGTCCTGATCTCTGTGATTTCATCGGTTCCCTCTCCAGCCTATCAGATCACATACCGCCTGAACTCCACCAATAGCAACACAGCCACGTTTGACGTCTTGAACTCCAGCGCACGGCAGTATACCGTCACCGGACTGAGGCCGGAATCCGTGTACGTGTTTCGTATTAGAGCGCAAACACGCAAGGGATGGGGAGAGGCAGCGGAGGCTTTGGTGGTCACCACCGAGAAGAGAGGTAATGCATAGTATTGTCACACATCAGCAAGACAAGCTCAAACTGAGCAGTGTGTCTGATATTAAGCAAGAAATGAATTATAAATGGTTCAAATTAAACCGAAAACGTCCCTATCCATATGATCTTATTGTCACAGGTTCATGTAATCAGATCTAAAGTGCATGTTTGTGTGTTCATGTCTCTGAATGGAGACGTCTACGGTCCGCTGAGGTCAAGTCCAAAACAAATCAATCCCTTTTAGCCAGACCCGCTCTGGTGTGGTTAGAGACGCCTGGCAGAAGTTCTGCTGCACTGACTTCCACTCAGCATCCAATCAGCTACTGCCACACAATTTGATGTAACGTGGGACCCGCCTCCGCTGGAGACTCAGAATGGAGATATTCAGGGTTATAAGGTCAGACTCTGATGACTATGTGGAAAATGCTTTTAGTGTGACTCCCATGGATATTTTCTGCATGATGGTTATCTGTTGACCCTCTATGACTAATGGTTTTTCTGACTTATTTAGACTGTATATTATTTACATTAAAACAAATTTATTTTGTAATTTGTCAGTAATTTGAATGTATGTGTATGTGAAACTGCACATTTTAGAGTGGCCTTTTATTGTGGCCAGCCTAAGGCACACCTGTGCAATAATCATGCTGTCTAATCAGCATCTTGATATGCCACACCTGTGAGGTGGATGGATTATCTCGGCAAAGGAGAAGTGCTCACTAACACAGATTTAGACAGATTTGTGAACAATATTTGAGCGAAATAGGCCTTTTGTGTACATAGAAAAAGTCTTAGATCTTTGAGTTCAGCTCATGAAAAATGGGGGCAAAAACAAAAGTGTTGCATTTATAATTTTGTTCAGTGTATTACAGTATATATATACAGTATATATATATATGTGTGTGTGTGTGTGTGTGTGTGTGTATGGAATGTACTAATTCATATTTTTTATAATGGATTTTCATAAGTTAAACATTTCTGGGATTGACACATGGGCAAAACACTAAAACCTATATGTAAACGTCATTTTAAAAAGGTTGCAAAAATAAATGATGAGGCTTGAAAAAATGTTTCCAAGAGCTTTATAATGTAACCTTTATATAATAGAAAGTGCTAGAAGCTAAAAAAAATAGCCTAGAACACGCATGCAAAACAATAATATGAGTGTGACCTATTGTTTTCTACTTGCAGATTTTCTTTTGGGAATATAAGCGTAAAAACGAGACCGAGAAACTGCGGACTCTCTTTCTGCCAGAGGGAGGGGTGAAGCTCAAGAATCTAACGGGCTACACCACCTACATGATCAGTGTTGCTGCTTTCAACGCAGCCGGAGATGGGCCACGCAGCCCACCAACCAGAGGAAGAACCCAGCAAGCTGGTGAGGAAACTAGACAGTTCTGTCCTTACCTGTCTTGTCCTGGAACTTCATGCATTATCACAAAAGTTAACAAAAACACTTGTTCTGGGTCATTTGCTAAATATGTGGTGTACCAAGTACTGTAAGACCACTATCGTAACTTCACTATATAGACTTTTTCAGATTTTAAAGCTGAGTCATTTTACATTTAATAATTTAATCTAAACTAACACAGGCGTAAAACTGCAACTTATTTTATGGTAAACACTAGGCTTGCCGTGATAGACGGTGCTGAGGGTGATACCGGTGTTAAGCCGCAACATCGGTTATGTCACTTGCCCACCGCGGCACCGACCCCCACCGTCGTTTTGATTTTTTATAGTAATATAAATAGAAAAATAGAAAATATCCTGACCGTCACAACCCCAGTAAACACATTGGCAGTCAGTCAGAAGTTTGTAATGATGGAAACTATTTCAAATTATTTCATTATTTGTCCAAGACCTTCTGGAATGCTGAAAACTGGCCAAAAAATATCAAGAACTCAAGTTATCCTTTGCTTCTAATCAGTAAATCTGCTATCTGCATTTGTTTGTGTGTATAGAGTTCGCTCTGATGAAGCGGAGTAATTTCTGCCTTATTCAGCCTTGTGGTTTTCATTCGGCATGCCTGTGAGTTGGCTCACGGCTCAGAGCATCTGTGGGACACAGTCTCTAGATTGTTCTCTCATTCTGGAGGAGATGTTTCCCTGGAGTCTGAGAGAAATATGCTTTTCATTCGATTGCCACAGAAGTTTTGTCATCTAATATTATAAAGTTGGCCATGTTGAGCTTCAGTGTCAAAATTAGTTGATGGATGAAATAGCTTTCCAGGCTATTTTGTTATGTGTGAGCTTTTTGTTTTCACTCTCTTTGCTAATAAATTCAAGAAGGGGAAAGATGAGGAACAAAGTAGAGTAATAGGACAGAGGACATAAAAATGATATTCTGAATCCTCAAAATTGAATGAACACTAGGTTTATTCTTTATTTTTCTTACGAAGAAAAGATGATGTGACAAATAAGACAAAATTCACCGTTAGTATAGATTGATTCTCAAGGGAATGATTCTTATGAACTGTTTTCTAAGAATCAGTGAAAAAGACTTAAAAGTCATTGAAGGTTTGAATCAGTCTTGCAAATTCGTTTTTGAAACATAAAAGCGTTTAATGAATTAACGCCAAACTTACTGACTGGATTTGGAGTTTTGTTAAAAAATGTTGCAAAAAATGTTATTGTTTTGTTTCGTTTGCAGTTAAGACCACTTATTGTGTGTGGTTAAAGTGCTGTTGACATACTAAAGAGTATTGTTTTTTGCTTGTGGTTACAACTACATATAATAGCTTGACAGTTTTTGTTTATATCATAAATCGCTCTTCCAGAAAACACTTTGACTGGCGTTAAATGGTTTTGTCTCAAGCTGTGGAGCTGAAACACATAGCAAAGGCAGTACAATAAATCAGCAAGAGTCTGAAAATCTTCTCACAAGCTGTGTCTGTCTTCCTCTCCTTCATCTAAAAAGATTTGTATCTTTGTTATGTCTGCTCTTTTTCTTTTTCCCCCAGATATAGAAACAGGCACAGAATGACAGGTAATTTTGTTGTAGCTGTTTTTTGTTTCAAGAAGGGATTAAAGTCTCAATTCCAGGAAAGGGAGACAGACAGACACGTTTAAGCCATTGAGACTGTCTCTCCTGATTAGCAGATGTTTTCTCTTTCAGCTCCCAGCGCTCCCAGTTTCATTCATTTCAGCGAGCTCACCACCACCTCAGTCAACGTGTCGTGGGGCGAGCCTGTCTTCCCTAATGGCATCATTGAGGGTTACAGACTTATCTACGAGCCCTGCATGCCTGTTGATGGTCAGTGCCTTTCTTGTTTCATGTATAGATTTCAGATTTCATGTATAACACCTTTAGCTTCAAATTTCCTTTTTCTAACACCTTACTAGCGTGTAAGGTGCGAGAGTGAGAGTGAGAGTGTGTGTGTGTGTGTGTGTGTGTGTGTGTGTGTGTGTGTGTGTGTGTGCGTGCTTGTGTATTTGTTTGTGTGCAGGGACTGGGAAAACACTTTCCTTCCATAATTGTGCTAACATCAAATTGTGATTATAATCAGTTGGGGTCCACAATTAACACTTGCCAGTGGTGGGTTAATTGTAAAATTACTATCTATACATATTTTAACTGCCCGTTAAATTTTGCATTATTTTTATTTTAAAAATAGTTATATTAATTTAGCTGTTATTTAAAATTATTTAGCTATTGTCCTTGCTTATTTATGACAAACACAGGTACAGGTAATTTTGCACTATCAATTACAAACAGTATTATTATAATACAGTATAATTTATATACTATTATAATGTTTAATACTATTTTGAATTACCTTTTTTATATATATATATATATATATATATATATATATATATATTTTTTTTTAGTTTGTTTTAGTAATTTAGTTATGTGCTTTTGTCACTTTTTCTTAGTTTTGTTTAATATTTCTATTTATTTTTATTTTATTTAGTTTTTACATTGTTATTTTACATATTAGTATATCACAACTCCTTGATTTTATTCTTTATATGTAACCCTGGACCACAAAACCAGTCATAAGAGTCAATTTTTTTTTAATTGAGTGTTTAATATTTCTATTTATTTTTATTTTATTTAGTTTTTACATTGTTATTTTACATATTAGTATATCACAACTCCTTGATTTTATTCTTTATATGTAACCCTGGACCACAAAACCAGTCATAAGAGTCAATTTTTTTTTAAATTGAGATGTATACGTCATCTGAAAACTGAATAAATAAGCTTCCATTGATGTATGGTTTGTTATGATAGGACAATATTCTGGAATCTGAGTGTGCAAAAAAATCGAATTATTGAGAAAATCACCTTTAAAGTTGTCCAAATGAAGTCCTAGGCAATGCATATTACCAATCAAAAATTACATTTTGATATATTTACTGTAGGAAATTTACCAAATATCTTTATGGAACATGATCTTTACTTAATATCCTAACGATTTTTGGCTTAAAAGAAAAATCGATAATTTTGACCCATACAATGTATTGTTGGCTATTGCTACAAATATACCCGTGCTACTTATGACTGTTTTTGTGGTCCAGGGTCACATATTTTCATTTTGGTGACTTTTAATGGCTTGATCTTGACATAACGGAGTTCTGGAGAAAACTTTAGGAGTTCAATATTCAAACTTCGAGTCTCTAAAAATGTACAATGCGCATCAAATTATCTATATTTCAAGTCAACTTAAACACTACAAAAATAATAAAATTACTTAAAGTATAAAATTATAAGAATAAAATTAAAATAATACAATTATTTAAAATAATTTTTTTAATAAATAATAAAATTACCAGCCAAATTCATATTAACTGGCTAAAGCCATTTTGCTTGCATTTAGCACTTGATGAGTGTTAATTTTGGACCTTGCGATCGTTATTCAGGGGCCAACACTATTGTTGAGATCTACGCCCACGTGTGAGTGTGTGTTGAGCTCCTGTTGCCTGAACTAAAAGTAGTGTGTCTGTCTAGAGTCCTCAGTGGCCTGTGTCGACTGTCTTCACTCCCCCTCCCCCCCAGGCGTCAGTAAGATCGTGACGGTGGACGTGAAGGGGAACGCCCCCCTGTGGCTGAAAATCAAAGACCTGGCGGATGGCGTCACGTACAACTTCCGCATTCGCGCCAAAACTTTCACCTACGGTCCGGAGGTGGAGGCCAACATCACCACAGGACCTGGAGAAGGTCTGTCTGCATGCTTTCTCCGTGCCTCCTTACAATTTCAGCTAAGCAATTTCTGCAAGTTCATGTAACCCCATTGCTTCTGTGTGTGATCAGGAGCCCCGGGCCCTCCCGGTGAGCCCTTCATCTCTCGATATGGCTCCGCCCTCACCATCCACTGGACCAATGGGGATCCCGGGCGAGCACCTATCACCCGCTATGTTATTGAGGCCAGGCCCTCAGGTGAGATTATTTGCACTTTATTATTTGGCCTAGTGGCCAAGACACACTCTAAGCATGATGAACCTTAGTGCTCATATGGGAGTTGCAGGTTTGTGCGAGTACAAATTACTTTCCTTTTGTCTTCATGTCATTTCTTTCCTGTGTGTTTGTGAAAAGTGTCCAAACGATCAAAATAGATTAGAAATTGTCACGTTCTGTGCACTTACAGTTTTCCAGAGTGAAGTGCGGCTCTGTGTTCATTTACACGCGAGCAGCTCATGATCCAGTGTTTTCAGTGTCTCAGAGCAGCTCAGTTCACAGTGAATGCTGCTCCATCTGAATTTAGCACTCCATCTACTTTTATAACATGCATCTGGAACACAACACAAACCAACCATCTTCAGAGAAGTTTGGTGCTTTAACAATTGAAAATTAAGAAATTAGGAGCCATGAACATTAATATTGTAATTTTGCAGTTGATAGTATAATATTATTGTTATTTATATAATTAAATTATTTATTTCTTAAGTACTCATTGTTTTATTTTACACTGAAATATTACAATAGTAATTTTATTATAATAATATAATAATAATATGTATTACTTTATTACTCATATTTTGTTTAATATTTCTATTTTGGAATTATCCTTATTATTATTATTATTATTTTATAGTCGTATTTGTGTGCAATCACAACAATTTTTTTAGGGTTTTTATTTTATTTTGTAATCACATTTTAAATCACAATTTTTTATCAGAAAGATGGCAGTTATATTTTATACTATATTATATACTCTTTAAGGAAACTCGGTTTGCAATGCGTCCAGTTTCCACTCCCCTTTACTCACTCTCAAATTCTCTATTTATCTACCCATAAAAAGTTACAAAAATAAAACTAAGGCTAAACTGAAAGCAGTATGGTTTTACAGTGAAAAATAACAATATCTTCTGATTTAAAAGACCCAACTCAAGACTTGTATTCAAGGAAATAAGTAAACCAGTGTCTCTGACTTTAAGGCCCATGCTTAGCATGAGATCTGTTTGGCAGCATATTCATCAACTAAACTTCTAGATACAAATTCTCTCAAAAAATGAAGAGTGATTCCATATGCGTCAGTCTGGAAAAAAGATGCTGACGGCAGCTTGTGTCCGATGGAGGAGATATATTGATGTGAGACAAAGTAGATCAGATTTCCTCAGTGACTGAAGAGAAGCTGTGCTCGAATGAGAAAAGAGTGAGTTCTGGAGGAGGAGCAGATGGAATTGATTTAAAGAAACTGTGTGTGTTAAAGACCCATACATTAGTGTGATGTGTGCCAGGTCATCTTTGCATGTCGTTGATGTGCCGTAGAGGTGGAATATTATTTTCACTCTGCCCTGAAGATCTCACCCTGTAATTTCTCTAGCAGGTCTGGCACATGACACCAGCTCTATTTTTCTGTCTCTCTGCACTGCTAGCTGAAGGCACTTGGGGTTCTCGGTAGCACATTAAACACATTAGACATAGCTGAAATGACATATGATCTATATTGTGATAAAATTTTATTTGATGAGGTCTCGCCTCTGAATTATTAGCCCTGACAGCTGCTGCAGTGTTGAACACACAACACAAAACACACACACAAAAACAGTGCCTTATTAAAGACACAGTGCATCCCCAAATTTTTCACTCCCAATATGGATTTGAAATGACATGAAGGTGAGTAAATAATGGCATGATTTTCATAGTTGTGTTGCTCTAATGTCATCAGACTCATAGAACTTATGACTGATATAAACTATGCGACTATGAATGACTAGGCATTTTTATTTCTTAATGTTCCAGATGAAGGCTTGTGGGACATCTTAATCAAGGACATTCCCAAGGAAGTGACATCATACACCTTCAACATGGATATCTTGAAACAGGGAGTCAGCTATGACTTCCGGGTCATCGGGGTGAATGATTATGGGTATGGGTCTCCAAGCCAACCGTCACCATCTATATCAGGTTAGTTCTCCAAAGTTAGAACAATTGAAAATCAATCTGAAATCATACCAATTATTCTAATGATATATGCATCTGTTTTTAATTCCAGCACAAAAAGTGGCTCCGTTCTATGAGGAATGGTGGTTTCTGGTGGTGGTGGCTCTGGTCGGCCTCATTTTCATCCTGCTTCTAGTTTTCATCCTCATCATCAGAGGCCAGAGCAAGAAATATGCCAAGAAATCTGACTCAAGTATGTATCCATCCATGTATCCAAGTTCTATCATTTTATCGTTCCGTCTATCATTCTATCATTCCATCTATCTACCTATTGTTCTATCGTTCTATCTATCATTCCATATATCATTCTATTGTTCCATCTATCTATCTGTCGCTCTATCTTTCTGTCGTTCTATCTATCGTTCTACCTATCATTCCATCTATCATTATATCGTTCTATCTATCATTCCATCTATCGTTCTATTGGTCTATCGTTCTATCTATCATTCCATATATCTATCTATCGCTCTATCGTTCTATCTATCGTTCCATCTATCATTATATTGTTCTATCTATTGTTCCATCTATAATTATATTGTTCCATCTATCTATTTCGTTATTTTGTTCTATCTATCGTTCCATATATAATTTTATCATTCCATATATCATTCTATTATTCCATGTATCTATCTATATATCATTATATTGTTCTATCTATCGTTCCATCTATCATTCTACCGTTCCATCTATCGTTCCATCTATCATTCCATCTATCTATCTATCGTTCCATCTTAGGCCTGTCACGATAACAACTTTTTGTTGTGCGATATATTGCCCCAGAAATAATTGCGATAAGCGATATTATTGTCATTTTAAAGACCATTTTATGCCACTGAATATATAATCGTAATGTAACAGCATAATAATGCAAGAAGGCCTACACACTTCCAAATGACAACACACTTTTACTTTTTAAGAATATTTAGATCATGGAAATTAAGTATCAAAATATTAGATACCTTAAAAAACCTGAATAAACAGTAAATAAACATTTTCTAACAAAAAGTGCAAAGTAACAAGTAGAAAAAAAGAAAACTGCACAAAGAACTTGTATGGAAATTTTTCCATCTACAGATTTTTCCCTGACCTTCTTTTCTCTGTAAATGAAGGGTGCACACTATTGCTGAAAAACACAATCACTACTTATCAGTCAGATGTCCGTATGCACAAAGGCACAGATCCCTAAACAAGACCATATCTACTGATGAAACTTTTTTGTAGAAGCATTTTTTTTTATTTGAACTAGCACCTCATGACTACACCACGTTATGTACGAGAAGCTGCAAAACACACAGGTGCAAGTGGAATGTACAAAACATGGTGACATTAATTTTTGAGTAAATACAATGGAGCAATATATTGCGTCACCAAAAATTATTGAGGTCATGTACATATATTGCGCGATAAGTCGATATATTGATTATTGCGACAGGCCTATTCCATCTATCATTCTATCGTTCCATCTATCTATTTATCGCTCTATCGTTCTATCATTCCATCCATCATTCTATCGTTCTGTCTGTTTGTGTATGTGTATTTGTTTATGTCCAAAGGGTCATTCAGGGAGAGACGTGATGAATGAAACAGCATTGTTGTTGCTGTGACATCATCAGTGTGGTATGTGTGTGGTCAGCATTTCTGTAGTAAGAGCAGGCAGACCACAACAGAACTGAGGGGTGGGACAGTCATGTGGGTCACTGAGCATGTTAAACAAACTGAGGGAGCTTGAGAGGCCCAGTTTGTGCTTCCACACAAAAACACACTCCATCACACAAATGTCAAACACACACACACACACATACACACCATTCACACAACACCACCTGCCAGCCCAGAACTGTTTTATCTTAATGAGGCTTCAAAAATAGCAAAGGTTTAGAGATTATTTGGTTTATGGCCTTGTGGTTTTGGTGGCATTACATCCTGTTATCATGATTGACATCTTCAGCAGATCAAAATGTGTCACATCTCAGTTTTGGTCCAAACTATGTCTTAATGATCTCTTAATGTCTCCATATCTCATCCATACAGGCAACAATTCTAACTGTAATGCATTGACACATGGAGAGATGGTCAGCCTGGACGAGAGCCGCTTCCCTGCCTTGGAACTGAACAATCGACGACTGTCTGTCAAAAATTCCTTCTGCCGCAAAAATGGCGTCTACACTAGGTCAGTGGTAGTTTCTCCCTTTGTCTCAGTCTTTCAAGGTTTTTAATATAAGCATGCAGGTTTTTAGGGTTTTTAATATTAATATGTTTTCAAGCTGAAATATGTCAGCTACTGAGTTTCATATTACAAATGGAATGGTCATAACTAAAAATTAATCTAAGTGCAGAAATAGCTGCAATTTAATACACTAATGTTCGCCTGTCACTTTGCCCAGTAGGTTTGGTAATTTTATATGAAGTAGTAAATCAATTATCATATGTGCTTATTTTGTACTTTGCACATAGAACTATTAAACTCCCATAAAGCTTCAACCACGTGGCAATAATGAGGCAAAAATAGCCCAAAATCTAGGAGATTCTCATTCATAATGGAAAGACTGATGGGATTACCAAATGCCTCTACCTTCATATGATCCTACTTTCCATCATAAAACTCAATATAAAAAGTTTCTGTTTCCACTAATGAGACTCAGGCTAAGTGCAATAACAGATTCTGGTTCATGACCTCACCTATACTGCCACCGTTCTTTCTGAAAAGGGACTGTTTTAAAATATATGCACAAAACATTTATTATTGCAACTAATACTTGTTAATGCTTAATGTCAGTTTATTTTATGAAAATATGGATTTGGTGGCGTAGGTACTGCATTAGAAATTAAGAATTTCTTATAAGTGTCTGTATAGTTTGTACAGCTTTTTTTTTTCGTTATTTTGCATTACATTTTTTTTTCGTTATTTTATTTATTTAAAAAATTTGGTGGCGTAGGTACTGCATTAGAAATTAAGAATTTCTTATAAGTGTCTGTATAGTTTGTACAGCTTTTTTTTTCGTTATTTTGCATTACATTTTTTTTTCGTTATTTTATTTATTTAAAATTATTTTATTGGTTATTTTTAAGTTGCACATAGAGGTTATATATTGCAATGTGTTATATTTTGAGAATTGTCAGGCAATGCCATATAGGTGCTCACACATGTAGCAATATTTCCAGGTGCGCCAGGTGTGCAGATCCAGTTCCATTTCAGAAATCTGCCCTATTATCACTGCTTAGTTCTCAGCCTCTGCCTTCCTTCATCATGGGTCACCTTGAGAAGGATCAAAGGTCCTCTGGTCTTTGAGGGGATGCCAGGCTCTTTCCTCTGGCTGCAGATTAAGGGAGAGGTGTGGGAGGAATGTGCAGATGAAGTTCCACAGGCTTTGTTCTCTCCCGGGTGGAGGGTCTACAGAGCCCGAGTTAGACTGTGGGCTCACTGGCTGAGAGGATCAGGAAAGTGAATGAAGAACCTCAGGAAAATCTTAGAGAAGTGACAGGAGCATCAAGGTGGAAAGAATCAGACGGTTGATGTATGCCCACTGCAGAGAGCTGGTTCAAGTACGCTGTCTTGCTGTTATAACCTCAATAGTTATGACATTCCATAGCTCAAGTAACACAATACAGAGAGCTTCTCTTCTCAAGATACTGGCAGGATTCAAAGACTGCCTGCTGAGAAGGAGGTCTGTGATTTGAGATCTTAAAGCAGGTCTTTCTTTTAAGATTCTTCTGACTGTCTGTCATGGCAAGTCAGTGGTTTCTCAAACTAAATTGGAGCAAAAGTTTTGGTAGCGTACAGCATTTGTTTTCCATTTGTTTTTGACCCAAAAATCTAAAAAAAAAAATTAAAAAAAAGTTGTGTCATTTCCATGCCCTTATTTTGTTCCAGGCAATGACTTTCTTCTGTAGATCACAAAAGGAGATGATTAGCATAATGATCTTTTTTTTCATTTAAATAAAAGTGAATAGAAAAGTGCACTGTTGAACTGCAAAATACACAGAAAAGCAAAAAGCACATTTTGAAAGTATTATAAAAATAGTTCTGACGCCATATGATAGCTTTTTTTAAAGGACAGAACAGTACATTTATGTTGCTTAAATTTGTTTTGTGTGTGCTTGTGTGTGTGTGTGTGTGTGTGTGTGTGTGTGTTAATAAAAATGGCAATACATAATTAGCAATAGAAACATTAATAGAAATAATAAACATTAGAATGAAGTTGCCAGGGCAGCGAAAGATATGAGAGACCACAGTCTTATCTCAGTGATATGAAGAGTGTTGTTTTTAAAGGCAGGGGAAGTATGTGGTGTGCTTTAACTCTGTGTTTGAGACTTTACTGTTCTGGACTATGGAGAGCTGACCAGGCCTGTTTACAGCACACACACATCAGCACAATCTGCAGTGCTTCAGCAGTCACAAGCACACTCACATTTTAGAAAGAAAATCGAAGACAAAGATAAGAGAAAAACATGTATTTTTATTTGTAGATATTTTTCTGTAGAAATAAAAATGTAATGCATTTTCCATTTTTTTCTTAGATCACATATTGCTGATGATATGTTGAAGGAGTATGCAGTTTGCAGTAGCTAAATATTTCCATTGTATTTATGTCTTCAGCAACTAGGTTTGTGTTTCCTTTGCAATCATGAATGCAGGTTTGAAAAGAGAAAAGTGCAAACAACTTGACACACAAATAGACTGCAAACATGGATGTGGAGTTTGTTTTGGAATGGTTCAGTATTAGTGGCAGAGAAAATGACACTTTTAGGTTCTGAAAAAAGATATAGTGACACTTGTATAAAGCACTTACAGTAAACTGATTTTTAAAGGTTTCTCATAGAGTAATAGAAATATTTCAGGATTTCAGGCTGAAAACCACAGTCAGTAAAAGAGGTTTTTATATTTTTAATAGCTGAAGCATAATCCAGAATTCACAAGTTTTTTACTTAGCTGCTCTCCACTGATGTATCACAGAGACTTAATTATGCAGAAAACCCGTGGAGCTGGCATCTTACAGTGGTCCCATGATGCCCATAATGAATCCCCTCTCAATACAAACACACACTGTACTTCATTCAACTAACAAAGACACAAGTGTCTGCAGCTGGAATTACTGCCAAACCTTTTCTAAAGATGCTTCATTCTGTCAGATATTAGATATTGCTATATGTGTGTGTGTGTGTGTGTGTGTGTGTGTATGTATGTATATATTAGTGTTGGGTTCGAGTCCACCTAAGTCGATCCGAGTCTTTAACCAATCGAGTCCGAGTCCAAAATGGGCCGAGTCGGACTCAAGTCCGAGTCCCAAACAGCCGAGTCCGAGTCCAACGAAACTCTATTATTTATTAGTATCTTAACATTGTTTTAACCTTTACAACTAGTTAAAAACGCAATGTACATTTAAATGTAACAAAAGCAAACCTCTATTGCATCTTGCCATTTTGATTTTTGATTAATAATTAGTGTCCTGCTTTGCTCAGCAAACTTAAAGTCATGTAAGAAGTTATGGCTAAATTGATTTATGTATTGTGACATATTTCAGAGTGAAACAGGTTTTAGAATGTGAAAAATTAAAGGGCGGGACTTTACTTTATTCATCGTTAAAGTAAATGTATAATTTCAAGAGTGGGGGTAAAGGAGTTATCTTGGTGAATGGGACCTTAAGAGCAGAAAATGCAAATAAAAAACAAGCTTTATATAATTTCTACGATTTTGAATGAAATATGAATTTTGAATAATCAAAATTAGTTTGTGTCTGCTTATTCTATTCATCAGTGTTTGAACCATTAAAGAAGAAACTGCATTTTAATTTCTGGGTTAAAAAAAAAAGAAAAGAAAAATGAATGGACGCCAAAGTACACGGACCCCTTAGACAGGGCATTTTTATTTTTTTCTTGGATGAAAATAAGGCTGTGAGGGATAAACCTAATCTATACAATGGCACACACTGTGTATAAAAGCCCTACATATACTTTCCATAAGTCACAGGCAACACACACCTGTTTTATTTTTGAATGCATTTATAGTCACATTAATTGCAGTAAATTACATTATGTAAGGAATAATTGATGACGGGCCGTTGAATTATTAGAAAATAATACACACCCAAGGTGATTTTGGACCCATAAAAACTATTGCCGCAAAGATTTTTCTTTGAGGCTAGAAACTGCCACTAATCCAAAAGCAGAAAATAATAAACTAATGTAATAAAACATTCTCAATCTTACTGAAGGCAAGTAAACACTCCAAGTATTACTTACAAGCCAGATGATAAATAAATATATTACTCAAAAATACAAATTAAATCGTTTTTTTTTTTTTTGTTTGATTAACATTTATGACGCAGTCAGCGGCTGCAGGTTTATGCTGTTGCTTTAAGATCTGACGTATAGATCAAATATTTTGACACATCTGTATTTCTCCCAACTGTTCAAGTTCACTTAAGACAAAACCGACTGCATTTACATGAATAGTCTCCAAGACGGGCATTTTGACATAACTTTTTGTGTAAGTGTGTAATAACAGAACTTAAGAGAACTTAAAGGCACAATATGTAATTTTCGCCGCTAGAGGGCGCATATTCAAAATAAACAAATAGACAAAGGCGTAGTTTGATGACGCCGTGACTGAGTGTGGAATCATGGGAGTTGTCGTCTTCATCCCCACAGCCGACGCAATCCGACGGGACTCGGGCAGAAATCATGTTCATGGATGAGCTAATGATTTATTAACGTAGTAGAATGAAGCAGGGTGAGGCTGAAAGCCGTCGAAGCGAAACGAGCCTGCTGAATGAACGCAACACACGGCTCGAAAGCAGCGGAGCTTTTATTATGCCACAGTCGACCGTTTGCACACCTTCCGGTCGTGCGTATGTGGGGTAAAGCAGCGCTGTTTTATCATACTAGATACGTTTGAAAGTTCTGTTATAATGCTACTCTGTGCGGTCGTCACCGGTCTATTAAAACGCACAACATATTAAAGCGTCTTTGGTGTTTCGAGGGTGTTTGACGTCATTGGCAGGCGACACAATGACACTATAAACACGGTCCGTGTCACTAGTTAAAATCGCTTATTTTTCTGAATTTAAACATTCTTCGAAACATTTTGGATAATGTAAGTACACAAGTCAGCAAAATATATAACACTGTTCTAGTGTTTTTTTTATATTTTAATAAAAAAATCGTACATATTGTGCCTTTAAGCGAAAGAACTCCGCATTCGCACACCGACTGAGAGCCGTGTTATTCTTTGAGCACGCTTTCGGTGTGTGAGCACAGAAACCCGTCGGCTTTTAAGTACTGGACAAGACTTAAAAACACATGCAAATACTGAATATCCCATTCGTGATAATGCATTGAGTCCGTGACATTTCCGTCAACTGTCCCTGGACTCGGTTGGACTCGGACATATTTTCCGAGTCCGAAAGGCTCAAGTTCGAGTCAAGGCCGAGTAAAAATGCACCCGAGTCCGAGTCCTTTAAAAAACTGTACTCGAGTCCGAGTACGAGTCCGAGTACCCCAACTCTAATATATATATATATATAGATCAGATTTTGCTTGAAAAAAAATTTTTTTTGGGGGGGTGGGGGGTATTTATTTATTCATTCATTCATTCTTGTAAAAAAAAAAATACTCATGTTAAAAATAATGAAGTTGGACATTTAGACAGTGTTCATCCTGTGCTTATAAAAATGGTGTTGTGCCATATTTTGGCTCAGGTCACCTCCTCGACCCAGTCCAGGCAGTCTGCACTACTCAGACGAGGACGTCAGCACCAAGTACAATGACCTGATCCCAGCAGAGAGCAGCAGCCTCACAGAGAAACCATCAGAGATCTCCGATTCACAGGTAACAAACGTTCTGGAATGAGACATTGTCAGTCTGTGTATGTTAATATATGTTAAAGGGCCAGTTCACCCAATAATTCTGCCCTCAATCACTCATTACAAGAGACTTTAAAGCTTTAAAAAGGATGTCAATATGCATATATGGACAACTTTTATTATACTTTTCTGATTATGGTGCTTTTGCCTCCTTTCTAAAAGCTGAAAGCTCCAGTTCCCATTGTTATTGTATGGGAAAGAGCAACCAGCATCTAAAAAAATCTCCTTTTGTGTTCCATAAACATTCTGAAAACAACATGAGGGCGTTTTTTCACAGAGAAACCATCAGAGATCTCCGATTCACAGGTAACAAACGTTCTGGAATGAGACATTGTCAGTCTGTGTCTGTTAATATATGTTAAAGGGCCAGTTCACCCAATAATTCTGTCCTCAATCACTCATTACAAGAGACTTTAAAGCTTTAAAAAGGATGTCAATATGCATATATGGACAACTTTTATTATACTTTTCTGATTATGGTGCTTTTGCCTCCTTTCTAAAAGCTGAAAGCTCCAGTTCCCATTGTTATTGTATGGGAAAGGGCAACCAGCATCTAAAAAAATCTCCTTTTGTGTTCCATAAACATTCTGAAAACAACATGAGGGCGTTTTGGGGTAAACTATCCCTTTAACCTCCAAGCAGAATTTCTAATGCTAAATCTAGTCACGTTCATTTAGAAATTCCCTTATCACACACTTTTATTAGGACAAGACTCGCTGTGATGAAACTTTCTCAAAAGTAGGATACAGCCCTGCAGGAAAGGTCTGTTATACCCTACTTGAGATTTTGGCTGTCTTACTTGCGCATGGCTTCAATCCAGGCTAGGTCCTGTGGGTGGTTAGTTAGTTTTTTTTTTTACCAGAACATTCTGCTGCATCCTAGTTCATTCTCTCCAGACTTTGTGTCCTGAGGCACAGGTTGGAAAATCTGTGGTAGACTTGAGAACAAAACAGGAATTATAATCAAACAAATACTCACACAGACACATACAGATTAAAGTGTGAGAACTGGAAGGCTTTGGTTGGACTCTCTCCACTTCTCTCAAGTGACCATTTAGCTGGCATGATAAGCAGAAAACCATTCAGTTTGAGTTGTGTGAAAGTCTAGCATTGGCATTTACTAAATAAAACTCACAGACTGGCAAAGAGAGCAGGAAACACACACATCACGCTGTTTTCTTCACAGTAACAGTTCTGTCTTTCCAATGAAACACGGCTGAGCAATATTCATCTATTTTTAGTCGTTTTCAGAATCATCATGCCCCCTATGATTTGTGGAGTGGATATTTAATGAAGTCTTTGAGGTAGATTGAGTAGAACGATTATTGTAACAAGGTTCACTCATGTTGCTTGCAATTTGTAATAACCATTTCCCAATATAACACAAAAAGTTATTTATAACCTTTTCCCAGTATAACACAAAATATGGCTCATTTTATTTAAAAATAATAATAATTTAATATATATTATTATTGTTGTTGTTTTTATTATTTTATTTTTGTTTTATTTAAATATATTATTATTATTATTATTATGTATTCAGAGTCTTAGGTGTACATATATTTCAGCTTTAAATGTAGTTAATGCAATCCCATTCTTGAGCCAGAAATATATTTTTAAATATATTTATTGCATTTTTTTTCTATATTTCTACTAATAATTAAAAAAAATATTTAGAAGTGGGAAATAGTTCATTTCCCAAAGGATTTCAAGCATTTCATTTAATTTAAAATGTTACGCACTGCCACCAGTACCTCCCAAAATGCATATCATGTCAAACAAAAGCTCTAAACTTTTCATCTCCTCCTTGATCTTCGCTGACACCTCCTGCTACCACCTTCTAGACTGCTGGCATCCGGCCACCTTTGACTGGAAACCTTTGGTTGGAAACAGAGCATCTCCTGTTCCCCTTCTGCTCCTGCTAAAGTCTGGCATCATCGCCATCGAGCAGAGTGAAGAGAGAGGCTGGAATCTCTCTTTGAAGTTTTATTGAGCGGATAACTCCAGGCTATTGTAGATCCATTGAGGTGTCTCCAAAAGAGCCAGAGCCTCCACAGAGACATATAATACTGACATTGTTCAGGAACTCTTAAAGATGGCTCAAATTCATTTGGCAAGCTATCAAACCTGAGCACCTAGCTGAGCCAGCTCTGCCTTTAAATAAACACATGGGAGATGAATGAAATGTTGGACAGGTGTAATTCTGTCTAGTCATTAGAGTGTGTTGAATGGACACACATTTTGTTTTTAAATCAGATTTTGAGCTGCTTTTGGTTTTTGTTGGAAACGCTGGCACTACGGCTGCAGCTAACAGCAGGGATTGTTAGGGCAGCCTGCCATGTCAAAGCATCTTTGTTTTAATTGGCTCTCTGATGATCATCACATCATCAACACTGTGAGATTCTTCCCAGTGAGAGCCTGAAATAGCTTGTGGAAGTTCTTTCTCATGGAAAGTTTTTGCTTCTCATCAGTCACTCTTATGTTATAGTAAAATGTTAGATTTAATTTGGAGAGATGTGTGCATTTTGCTGATATTTGATGAAACATGGCATAACATGGGCTGGACCATATATCAAGTACTCATAATACTGTACATTTGCACTGATTTTGCTGACAATATAAAATTAGGCTACTTTTATTTTAATTTGCTTCTTTTTTTTCTTTCTATTTTTTACATTTTAATCTTTTTTTGCCCAATGTAAACCTAAACAAACGTTAATTAAGTGAAAGTAACAGGAATTTGGCAAGTAGGTTTTTTTTTCATATATTAAAATTATATTTAATATATGATTAAAAATGATTAAATATCCTTAAACGTTAGATTAGTAAAATTACGTTTTTTATCACAAAAAAGGTGAAAAACAGTGCAGACATTTTTAAGTAGATTTCTACTGTATTATATTTAATACATTTAAACATATTTACACTTCTTGGTTGCATATTCTGTTTGGAACTGATCCCTCTGATTGGGAAAAATCAGTGTGTTGAATGGACACACATTTTGTTTTTAAATCAGATTTTGAGCTGCTATTTGGTTTTTGTTGGAAACGCTAGCACTACGGCTGCAGCTAACAGCAGGGATTGTTAGGGCAGCCTGCCATGTCAAAGCATCTTTGTTTTAATTGGCTCTCTGATGATCATCACATCATCAACACTGTGAGATTCTTCCCAGTGAGAGCCTGAAATAGCTTGTGGAAGTTCTTTCTCATGGAAAGTTTTTGCTTCTCATCAGTCACTCTTATGTTATAGTAAAATGTTAGATTTAATTTGGAGAGATGTGTGCATTTTGCTGATATTTGATGAAACATGGCATAACATGGGCTGGACCATATATCAAGTACTCATAATACTGTACATTTGCACTGATTTTGCTGACAATATAAAATTAGGCTACTTTTATTTTAATTTGCTTCTTTTTTTTCTTTCTATTTTTTACATTTTAATCTTTTTTTGCCCAATGTAAACCTAAAAAAACGTTAATTAAGTGAAAGTAACAGGAATTTGGCAAGTAGGTTTTTTTTTCATATATTAAAATTATATTTAATATATGATTAAAAATGATTAAATATCCTTAAACGTTAGATTAGTAAAATGACGTTTTTTTATCACAAAAAAGGTGAAAAACAGTGCAGACATTTTTAAGTAGATTTCTACTGTATTATATTTAATACATTTAAACATATTTACACTTCTTGGTTGCATATTCTGTTTGGAACTGATCCCTCTGATTGGGAAAAATCAGCATACAGTTGTGCTCATAAATGTACATGCCCCTTGCAGAATATGCAAAATGTTAATAAGTTTAACAATATACGAGGGATCATGAAAATGGCATGTTATTGTTTATTTAATACTGTCCTGAATAAGCTATTTCACATAACAGATGATTATATATTCCATCTTTTCACACTGAGGGCAATTGAGGGCCTCAATACACAGCTATAAGGTGCAAACATTTACTGACGCTTAAGAAGGACACATAATGCATTAAGAGCTAGGGGGTGTAAACATTTTGAATTTTTAATGAACTTTTTAAACCTTCAGTTAATCCATACCTGTGCCACATTAGGATTTCTCCGTCCGTCTCTGTAAAGATATGAGTGGGGGTGGGTTCGTTTTGGTGGTCACACTGGCCGTAAACCTAAATCTAGTGGCCTGTGTTAACTTTTTTAGGCTTTTTGAGCAGATTAGACAAAAATATCACAGATGTAATGCCTCTTTAGTGATGCATCAGCACTGTCAGCCTATAACCTACAACCTATAATCTTGTGTAAAACATATTTAAATTCCATGTATTTCTTTTGCAACTGTCACAAGGTCAGGCAAGTGTCTCTATCTAAATGCAAGTCCACAGAGGAAGTGAAGTTTCATTCATTTTAAAGGGATTTCTGTAGGGCAAGGGCTATACTCAAACCGGGATTTTCCGGGATGGAACATCTTGCCCCACTTTCTCTCTCTGCAGGAGACAAAACATACATGCCAAACAACCAGTTCCAGTAAGATCAGGTCCTCCCATCTGAGCATTCTTTAACCAGACCCATCACAATCTGTCATTTCTGTCAATCTGTTATTTAGTTGAATATCTTGTTGTTTTGGATTTTTGTGGTCTGAAACGTATTTTAGTAACTTCACGAAGGCATTAATTAACAGAAGGTCTTTAAGATAAACAGCAGGCTGGAATCACACTGACATAATAACCAAGTTTTTTTTTTTTTTTTACCATTTCGTTTGGTGCCAGCTTTGCCTTTATCACAATGTGCTCTTTTTGCAACTTCTACAGTGTTCCTGTCACAAGCTACTTGTTACATAGGCCTATAACACATTATACAATACAATCAAAATACAAACGAGCTTGAAAATGATATTGGTGTGGATCATAGCTGGATTGAGGAGTAAGAATAACAGGAGGGGATGAATGCAAACAAACATTTTTGGAGGAGAGAACAGCTGTCACGTCCTGCATGTGTCAGCGGGGGAGGGCAGGAGTAGGTCAACCGACATGTTTTGATGACCGCACACACACACACACACACACACTCACACACACACCGAGTCAGCATGCAGCTTTAGTTTCTGAGCTTGCCTTCGCTGCGAGGTCACACTGAACAGAAAAAAGCTTTCAAAGCTGAATTATAGGGCGTTTTGTTTGCTGCTTATTGAGTTGTTGAATTTGCTGGTATGACTGGAATGTCTCTCATTAGAACACTGCAGTTGTTTAAGAAGCTGAAATCAGCACTTGCTCAATAATAGAAGCATGATGCTAGAGAAGTCCATGATCAATAAAATGGATGTGAAATGTCCAAAAAGTCCTATATATATATTATTGATCTTTAATAATAGATTATTCAAAATTTCATTTGTTCTATTATAAAATAAATGATTATTAAAATATATAATTTATAAAATGAAATGTAAATGGGAAACACTGTAATTCTGTTTGTAATATTACAGACATGACATGCATCTTGATCAATAAAACGGTGAAAAAAATGAACTTGGCTAAAAAAAAGAGTCAAAATGCAGAAATGTTTAACTAAAACTGCATTGAGAAGCACTTAAGTCACAGTTTCAGGAAAGACTAGGGGTGTTTTTACTTTATCTAATAGCGGTAAATTTGTGGGGATTCCATGAAATTCAGATAGCAAAAAATTGTTAAGGAATTTTCTCTTACATACAGAAAGACAAAACAATGTGCCTTTCTGTATTTTATCATACAGTTTTTTTTTTCTTCAGATGTCTTTGCTTTTTAAAGAAAAAAAAACGGATGAAAGAGATTCAGCAGGTCTTTGGCATGAAATCTGCAGCTCTTATTTTAGGGGGATGTGGGGCTGGTTTGGGGGAAACTGCTTTCCTCTCTGGAATTTGAACCAGAGGCATGTGTGTCACATATGTGTGTATGTATAATAATGTTTGACTGGAGAGATCTGTGCATTGTTAGTCTTTTCACTATAACAGAGAAAGACTAGGAGAAATGTTGAACTGTTTTGCCAGAAATATACATTTAATATAGTGATCTTATCTATGTGTTTTGCAGTAGTTCCGTGAGAGGTAGAAGTGCAAGACACTTCTGTTGATTCTGTTTGTTTGGTTGTTTTTTTTCATTCATTTCACATTGCCACATAGCCTAGTAAAAGACTGTGTTGCTCTCAGACAGGGTGGATTAAATTTGATTAAATGAGTTTTTTTGTTAATAACAGACTCATTGTTTGTGTCAAACAATGGAGCCAGAGTCTAGCTATTTAGAAAGATCAGAATCAGCTATGTGTTTTGCAGTAGTTCCGTGAGAGGTAGAAGTGCAAGACACTTCTGTTGATTCTGTTTGTTTGGTTGTTTTTTTTCATTCATTTCACATTGCCACATAGCCTAGTAAAAGACTGTGTTGCTCTCAGACAGGGTGGATTAAATTTGATTAAATGAGGTTTTTTTGTTAATAACAGACTCATTGTTTGTGTCAAACAATGGAGCCAGAGTCTAGCTATTTAGAAAGATCAGAATCAACCCCTAAAAGCAGCATTTAGAAATTCCCAGATTGAATTCCTGGCAGAGGGAGTGCAGAAAGTGGTGGTGAGGATAGACGAGTCCTCTTAAAATGATATGCAAACCCTAAAAGCCTGAGCTATGATGGTTCTTCTCCCTTATTTTCATTTGGCAATTCAAGCTTGGTTGGTACTTTAGGGTACATCTGTGGTGAACTCCATCAGCCAGCTCTAGAAGTGTGAGCCAAATATGTCAGAATGAGGGAAGGTGTTGTAATAAATGTGGTGGTGGAAGACAAAGATTGATGGAGAGCTGATCTTCATACAGTTTTCCACTGTTCTAGTGCAGAGTGCTGTCTCAACAAAGAGTGTAGGAGGTTGCTCCAAGAAATGCGTTAAAGTGTCAAGAAGTACTTCCAGCCCGCATTACCCTTACAAAAACTATCATGGTACTAGCCTGCTGATAAAATATAATGGTATTCTTTTGAATTTCCAAACAGTATCTTTTAAAGCAGCACTATGTAACTTTTGGCACTCCAGCGGTTAATAAACAGAACTGCACATATCCCGCGGAAGAACATTCCAACCGGAGCTACTTCTCTAAGTTTATGTCTGTCAATTCACGCAGGTATGTGTTACTCTGCAGCGGTGACGACCCAACCAGGCTTCAAAAGTCCAAATATAAGTACTTATTATAAGTGTACCGTAGTGAGTCGGAATAAGACAAAAACGCGGTTTGGAAGATGAATTCATGATGTACTCGCTCATTATATACACTTTGCAAATTTTGAACACAGAAAAAATGACATAGTGCTGCTTTAAATAAACATATGCAATCATGCTTTCCAATGCTGAACAGTAGGTTCCAAAAACGTTTTATTTTATTTTATTTCTTTAGAAAAATTGAAAACAAATGTGTAAAGTCATAAAAATAAGAATACATATTTAAGTGAAAGAAATACATTACAAACACTAAATGTTAATACTGAATATATTTTTATTTAAATGTTTAAATTGTTATAATAGTATGGGTTTGTTATGAATAAATTGCATTGAATTAATATTTCAAACAAAACTGATATTACAGTACTTTTTTTGTAAAGGTAATGCACCATTTTTAAAAAGAAGCCATTGTTTGTCCCATGCAATATGACTTAGGGCCCATACTGCACTGCTTTAAACCCCATGTCTCTGTTTACCTCTAGGAGGCGCTTGTTTTCTCCTTTAAGACTGGGGGCCTCCATACTCTTCCAACTCAAAGGGTGAGGACATGCATTGTGCATTGACTGACAGGAAGTCGCTTCCTAGTGCTTGTCCATTCCTATTCTCTCCATTAGATTCATGCATACATGGTCCAAACCCCACCGCATTGACGTGTGACCCCCTAAATGCAGCGTGTGATTGGTACCAGAGGGTACATTTGGTTGTCATAAAGCATTGAGGTTATTTTGAAATGATAGATAGAACCAACTTTTTGGGTTCCTCCCTTCCTTTTTGGCTTTTCTTTCTTTTTCGGTCATTTTTGACATATTAAAAATTAGGTATGTGGTCTTTTGCGTTTCACTACTTCCTTCCCATAGTAAATAAAGTCTTGATGATTTGGAGAAGGAAATTATTGCCAGTAGAGTCCAACAGATGAATTCATTGCATATTCTTCATTTATTCAGGCTGTTGTCATGTCTGTTGTCTTTTTCCCTTTGCAAGAGCAGATTAAAAAGAAAAACTACTTCAATACACTGTTTGATAAAACTAGCTCTTGCCACACAAGTTCTTCTGGTGTTGAGAGCTTGTCAGTGTTCCCTTTAGATTATAAATACTGTAAAGTTTTTACAGTATTTTACTGAACAATGAACTGGTAACTTGAAGTTTGTTTTGCCTATATGCAGTGATGCTGATCAATGTAAATCAGATGTTTTGTGATCGAATGAATAACAATCATTTTCACCAAACTCACTCTTGTCAGCCACAATTTCTGTTCTGTTAATCTTTATTAACACCCATTTTAGCCAAAGTTTTGTCAATTCAGAAACTGCTAATGTATTAATAGGATACATGATAGTTGGGTTACTTAAGATGAACTACCCACAAATATTATCAATTATAATTATCACAAATATTCTACACTACTCCACTCAAAAGTTTTTTTTTAAATGTTTTTAAAAGACGTCTTTTATGTTGACCAAGATATTATGTAATATTATGATATTATCAAGATATTAGGTAATATTATGAAGTATTATTACAATTTAAAATTTAATTTATTCCTGTGACATCAAAGCTCATGGCAAAGCATCACATGACTTTTTAGAAATCATTCTAATATGCTGATTTGGTGCTTAAGAAGCATTTTTTATTATCACCAGTCTTATGAACAGTTGTGCTGCTTAATACTTTTGTGGCAACTGTGAATTTTCAAGATTCTTTAAAGAACAGAAAGCTCAAAAGAACAGCATCAACAGATCAATTTAATGCATCCTTGCTGAATAAAAGTATTAATTTATAAAAAAAAAAAAACATACAAAAAACAAATCTTAATGACCACAAACTTTTGAACATTAGTATATATAATTAATGTGAAAATTAAATCAATAATGGATACAAATAGAGCATGACAGAAAACGTGCGACCCAACTGTCAAAGTGACGAATAATGAGGATTTCTAGTGTGACTTCTGGTTTTGTGGCTCGATCCCGGACACCTTCTCAAATCATCTCCCTCTTGAAATTGAGATTGTTGTGATTGAGAAGTGATTCTGTCTCCATCACTCATTCTTTCTCTCTTTCTCCACCCCAGGGTAGTGACAGCGAATACGAGGTGGACCCCAACCGACAGAAGACCCATTCATTTGTCAACCACTACATCAGTGACCCCACCTACTTCAACTCCTGGCGCAGGCAGCAGAAGGGAATCTCCCGAGCACAGGCCTACAACTACACCGAGTCGGAGTCTGGAGAGCCCGAACCCTGCGCTCCTCCGCCGCCTCTGCCCCCTCTACCCCCTCTACCCCCGTTCCCCCCGCAGCTCAGTTCCCCTACGCCCCAGAGCCAGTCCCAGACTGGCAGTCTTTTTAGACCCAAGGGCAGCCGGACTCCCACTCCATCCCAGCAGAGCTCCAACCCACCCAGTCAGCACAGCACACTTTATCGGCCCCCAAGCAGCTTGGCTCCAGGCTCCCGGGCCCCCATCGCTGGCTTCTCCTCCTTTGTTTGATAGAATGAAGATATCGGCACATGGAAATTCAAAACGAAGGCAGGGGATCTCTTACTTTCCCCAACACCTGGTCAAACTCACGTCTATAGAAGAATGAAAACAAACATCAGCCCTGGATCTGTTGTGTTTTAGCTGATTTTTATTTTTGTATACTTTCTTTGATCACACAGTTTGTTTGTTTTTCGTTTAGGTTTTTGTTTTGTTTCTTTGCTTGTGTATGTTCAGCGTGTTTCGCTTATAATGAAAGACAATCACTTGGAAAGACACGTAAACGCATCAGTGAGCTTTGTTTGTTTTGGTTTGGGTTTTTTGTGTAAACTGCATGACTTTTTTATTGTTCAAACAATTGCTTTCTTTTGCTTTTTCATTTTGTTGTTATTGGTTCTTTTGTTTAATTGAGTTCCACAAAAGAGTACAACACCAACACTAAGTTACGAATGCTGGACAAAAGCACCGACACATGAAAAATAATTTTAAAAGGCTATGGAGAAAATTTCAGCACTTGGACCACATCAAGACAAACGCTAAATGGTGGTTTTGACTGTGATATTTTTGTTCTGACACAGATGACAAAGTACTGCGGTGATTACGAGAGGTTAAAGTTCATTTGACTAGAGACTATGATCTGATAAAGACCCGCATGCACTTAGCACATGTTTGAGTTGGAAAGCCAGCATCATTTATTGATGTCACAGATCAGTTTTCACCAGTGCTCTGAAAAGGCCAAATGTCAAATTAAGTGCTTCATGCTAATATGTGTATTGAATGTTTTTACGGAGGTAAAATGTAGATTGTTTGTAAAGTTGAGCACGAGTATATTTTCCCTCGTGAAACTTATGGAAGGCCAAATATGTAAGCGTCTGATTCACTATGATATTATTATACTATTGCTCTGGATTCATTCATATTCAGAGCCATTCATGTCAGCAGCAGGTGTGTATGTGTATATGTGGTGGGCGGGGTCATTTGTTGCTCCTTTTGATTTGACTCTATGATGTCATCCTGAGCTTCAGGTTGCACTTCTGCCGTGCAAACAGTAACGTTGGACACTAACGTCAATAAACAGCAGCGGATATTGGATATTTGCCAGGTGTCAAACATACCCATCACTTTTCAGATTTTCCCTTTCCTGATCATCTGGCAAGTCATAAAAGCTGACAACATTTCAAAGATTTTGCAACCAAGCAAATGCATTGTACCTGTGAACTTCGGATTTTTCACCACTTCGCTTTGGCGTGGCTTTTCAAAGTAACTGAAGATAAAAGAAAATGGACTAAGGGACCCAACACGATGCCAGCAGAGAACTAAACGGCACTTGCACAGCTTACTTGTGAGGTTTAATGATGTTGTTTGCTCTTTCTTTTCCGTGAAGTGATTTTACTGTCTGTATAAACAAGGTCAATCACATGCTCAGTCTGCCTGAACACAGTATATTCCTAAATAAATTATGTTTTCTGCAAACGTTATTGGTTTGAACATTGAAGAGCGCGAGAAATGAGCATTCATGGTTAAGAGTGACTAACGTAGGAGAGGAAGTGGGTACATCTAAGTGAAAGTGTCCTTAAAATTACATTACTTTAGCTGTTGATACTTTACCACAGACACTATGACTACGTCTTAACCAGGGGCAACTGAAGAAAACAAGCTATATGAAAGTTCCTCTTCCATATAGATCTGAGTTTTTGTCCTAACCAATCTGAATTTTATTGGTGCTAGTCCAGCTGGTAAACCAACATAGCCATATGAAGCTGGATAACCGTCATGAGCTGTATGAATTTCTTTCTTCTGCAGAACATAAAAGAAGCTATTTTGAAGAATGTTGGTATCACAACAGTTACGATTCCAAATTTACTTTCATTGTCTGGACAAAAAATACAATGGAAGTCAATGGGAAATGAAACTCTCTGGTTAGCGTGGGCAAATTTGTTGCGGGAAACTTGTTGCACCTGGTTAATATGGAGTCATTTGGCATTGAGAGCAACAGAGGTGGCCACATATTGCAAAGGTGATAAAAACATCACATTAGTTTACCATTTTAGGAATAACTCCATGTGGACCAGGGGCTTAAGTTGTGCTTCAGACATATGAGGATAAATACACATAGCATTTATTAGAGTTGTGCATTTGTTGGGCTTAATTACTATCGTTAGTGAACAAAGGTTTTACCAGGTAGGATGTGTTCCTAGATCTCTTGTTGGTCCTGGAAAAACATTCAGCTCCAACGAACATATTCCAAACTCTGTTTAATGGGAATATACCTTGGCCTAATGTGCAAGTCTGCAACTGCGTCCTTGCAAATACGTTTCTAACTTAACCCTAATTCTGAAATCTGGTAGGACTTATAGGATTGTTGTTCCAGGACCAACAAAGATGTCCTACTTGGAAAAATCACCATCACAGAATGAGTGTTATTATTTCATACTCTTGGGTTCTTTTCTACTTGCAATGAGTGGAAATCCATCTTAACCCTCTGATGGACATATATGTGGCCTGTCACTCAAAGTTGTCCATCCTGTTGCTCTGATTGGGTTAATGAGTGTGGATAAATCAGATCAGCAGACCTGTGAAATCCTGGAAGCATCTGTTGCCTCCAGCCAGACTACAGTCCCAATGCTCTCTCAAGTTCAGAGAGAATAAAGCCAGTCAGTCATGATTCAATTTATATTCGGATTATCTTATAAGAAAAGGACTATTTATTTCTCTTTTATATACTTTTTTATTTTTGTGGTGACAACTGCAAAAGTGATATGAACTCTTTCCTCTTTTTTTCCTTACAAATTGCTTTTTTTGATCCTAAGTATGGCACGAATGAAACAGAAACCCCTGTATTTATACATTAATGATGTCAGAGACAAAACAGGACAGGAATGTATCTAAATGGAGGGAGATTCCAAATCATATTCATCCCAGCGTAAGTCCGTTTTGTGTCCTATTAAACCTAATTTCCTGCTTAAAGCTAATTTTCTTGATTTAAATATAGCGGATGAACTAATATAACAGTATAATGGCAAATGTTGTGTCCTAAAAATGGTCCTAAGAACATGATTTCAGTGGAGGAACTTTCAAAGTTAACGTTCTCTACTATAAGAAATGTCAAATCAAACACAGGTGTTTCTGAGCACTGCATCCCTGAAGTCAACTAAAATGGCTTCTGACAGATAAATGATTAATGTGCACCAGTCAAACAGATATAAATGGAAAATATGCTTATATAATCTTGGGTTATATAAGGATCGTGAGCGTCAGCGTGTCATGTTTAGATGTTATTCTAAACGGAAAGAAATTATCTGAACATCTGACTTCAAGATTTTTTTTCATAATGCAATCAGGTCAAAAATGAAGTTAGCAGAGTTAGCAATTTGTCCGACTGCTGGGCAACAATTCAATGTTTCATTCGAAGGTACTTGCGAAGCTCTGCAGCTGCGATTCTTGTTTAAACCATCTGCAGTCACTTCCAGTTTGAGGTTACTTCTTTGAATTTTGTGTTAATTATTAAATTATATTATGTCCCTCTTTGACAGAAGGGTAATATGCACCGTGTTGAGATCAAACGACTGGATAAATGCTTTTGATGGCAATTATAGAGTAGAGTTTTACCACTGGATACGAGCCCATTGATCAGCCCATTTGCTAGCACTATAAAGGGCATGTCAGGAAGTAATCACCTTTTTGAAAAGTTATGGGAATTTTTTGACCACTTTGGCGGCTTTTTATTTGCAGGTTTGAAGGGAAGACTGTAAAAAATGTGTAAATGTGTGGTGGTTTTACAGCTCTATTATATACGAAACATACGTATTCCTGCCTTAAACTTTAGGTGGGCCATTTGCATTTCCATATACCTGAAACATTCGTACTTAGATGTTATTAGTTCATTTGAATGTTATTTTGTCCGTTTTTGGTTATTATGCTCTTTTTGATCCCTGAAGTGATGTATGGTTGGACTGTGTGTGCATGCGGCGCCAATGAGAGAGTGAGAATGAGTGAATGTTTAGATATGCTACTATTTTTTCTTCGCCTCCTGGATGAGGGAGATTTAGCGTGCAGATATATTGTACAAAATAAGCTGATGTTTGTCTCTTTTTGTGTGTGATGGTGGGAATTTTAACACATTTTGCCTTTCAGATCTGTGTAGAACTTAAACCAAAAGAAGTGTTTTGAAAATAGAGAGCTGAAATGAAGGTCTACCCAGATGTACGTTTATTTTTTATCATGTTAAGATGTTCAAAGGGTCTGCATTTCATTGTATGCCAGTTTGCAAATATGACCACTGGAGTCGTATGTCACTATGAATCACCCGGCTGAAGAGGATGTACAGTATGTGGCTGGGTTTGTCACATTTGTTTAGTGTGGTTATTGCGTCAACATCAATTCACTTGGTAACTGTAACCACAGCTGTAATCAAAAATAAATGTAGCTTTTTTTTTTATTCGCAGACAAAAGCTGATCATTGTTACTTTTGTAAAGATATCTGTTGGCATTGTTTTAGTTAATTTTATTTTTTTTTTACATATGATATTTGTTCATTTAAAATGCGTTTCTTTTTGTCTTTTCCTGTGGTGTGATTTACTTCATCAATATTATATACCAGTGCCGCATCCAGACAAAAGCTGATCATTGTTACTTTTGTAAAGATATCTGTTGGCATTGTTTTAGTTAATTTTATTTTTTTTTACATATGATATTTGTTCATTTAAAATGCGTTTCTTTTTGTCTTTTCCTGTGGTGTGATTTACTTCATCAATATTATATACCAGTGCCGCATATAAGGACTTTTAAAAATGCCTAAAATGGGATGTATTGTATTATAATGAGTGTTTAGTGCCAAGGTTGTACTCTGTGATCCAATATGTGTATTCTGTACTAGACAATATATATAAAAAGAAACAATCACTTGAAGGAGCTCTTGAGCAGTCAATGATCATCTGGCTTCGGGTAAAATTCTTTGTCTTTGGGAAATAAAAATAAAACATAAGATGACCTGATGACAGAATTATATTATTTGCTAAATAAAATGAAACAAAGTCAAACAAGCCAATTTGTGATATTTTCTTTAAATCTCACCATCTATGCTTACTATTAATATCAATTTATTGATTGTATATTATTATACTATATTATTAAAATATTGCATTTATATAAAAATAATACATTAATGTTTAATAATTCTAAATATATTATGTAAAAATGTGTATAAAAACTTGAGGAGGTATAATATGTACTTTTAAATTAAAATAAATTGACTCCTAATACAATCTTAATATGTTAGGTTACAGCACTGGTCCTGGGAGACCCACATTGGAAAGGGGCGGAGCGTAATCGCTTATGCTGATGAAAGTGGGCGGGGTTGTGGGCGGAGCGTTGCCACACACAGTCAGAGGACTCTTGAACTGCATTAGTGCGCCATCGCGCTTTGGACAGTCAGTACGCAAAGACGCGCTCGTCAGGATTCCGCGCTATTTGTCCTATTTAATCACTTGTGATTAGCCATAAACGCGTGGTTGCAACATAAAGCTGTCTAAAGTTTAAAGGATATTGGAAACATCTGTCAGGCTGAGCCTGTTTTGTTATTAGGCTACTCGCTTCTCTTTTGTTTGGAGTGTAATTCCATTGAACTTGGTCCATTGTTGTTGGATGAGAAGCTCAACTTGGCATTGAGGCTCCTGGGATCCAATACTACGGAGCAAACAGTGGTAAGACTTTACTGTTAACATAAATTATTCTGTTTGTGCGACATATTCCAAAAGGTCCCATCAGAACTTTAGATACAAGTGCACTGTGTTTTAGATACAATGAAGCATTTGCTCTTCAAGTGTCTTACTGATATAAGTTTTCATACAGTGTCAACCATAGTATTTCCTTATTTTAGGCTTATTTTACCTTAAAATGCGTGCATTAAATAATTAATTGTCTGTATACATTATATTAGAAGTGTATTTCTAGGGGGAAAAAATGGTCGGATTAACCCAAATAATTAAAATATAAGAAAATAAGTTAATGTAATAATGATTAATAATACCCATTTATAATAACGAAATGTATTTCATTATTTTTCTGCTTATTGTATGTTATTTGATATTTAAAATGTTTGCGGAATTCATTCTCTGGCATTGGCTTTTTATGGGATAGTTTGTAGTACACTCTGACCTATGGCTTTTTATACTTAATATATGGAAATATCTTCATTGTTCCTATGAAATCATTTATGTACAGCCCGTCTGTTTTACAGCCGAAAGAATTTGACCAAACTTATCTGCATTTCACCTTTCAGATTGGAAGTTTTGTAGACTACCAATGCACAAGAGTGTGAAGTTGAGATAGTAGTTAACAAGTGATCTCTAATGGGGGTCTTTGACGTGCAGCTTGTTGGGATGGCAAACTGAAAGGGAAAACGAAGAGCTTGTGATTTTGAGTCATTCGTATAGTGGTGTTAAATGCCTGGTTGGAGCTTGACGCTGATGTTAGGCTGTTAGCTTGCATCTGAAGTGAAGAAAAAGTTGTAGAATTGTTGCACTTTAAACAGAATGAAGTGTTACGTAACTACTTGGGGGAATGAAAAGTCCACGTTGCAATGAAACAGGAATCCAAGTGAAGTATCCCAAGAACCTCTTGTGGATTTCCAGATGCATTTTGCATATACATTGTCCTGAACCTATTGGTCACATCTCTTGCATAATACATATTGGTCAGACAGCTGCATTTTCACAGTTCGTTAGTCTAAAGAAAAAAACAGCAATATTGTAAAATGTTACCTCAATTTTAAACTTTTTTATTTTGATATATTTTAAAATATAATTGATTCCTGTAATACAAAATCGGATTTTCAGCATCGTTACTCCAGTCTTCAGAGTCACATGATCCTTCAGAAATCATTCTAATTCGCTGATTTTGCTGCAAAAGAAACATATGTTATTATAATCGTTGAAAACACTGATGCTATTTAATATTCTTGTGTAAACCGTGAAACATTTTTTTAGGATTCATTTATGAATAGGAAGTTCAAAAGAGCTTGAAATAAAAACTATTTGTAACATTATAAATATATTTAATGTCATTTATTTTACAGTGTTATGCTGAATAAAAGTATTATTTTTGTATTATTTTCTTTACATTTTAAAAAGTATACATTTCTTTTATTATTCTATTCTTTAATTATTTTATTTTTTATTATTAGGCTATACTTTTATATTATGTTTAATATTATTGTGATGAAAAATCGTTTTTTGAGCAGCACAGCATGCTATTTATTGTATAATGACAGGAAGTGGCTGCGAGATATTGTTAGCTTTTATTTAGAAGACTTTGAACTGGGGAAAACTGTATTGCATTCATATCGGAACTCAAGGGAAAGTAAAACTATTTTAACCACGGCTCTTGCCAAGAGTCAGTATTTTTGCACTGTCTCCTCTCCTCGTGAACTTGAATAAGACGACTCGAGCTCTTTGCGTCAAGCCCAGCTGAGGCCTCAGGAATCTGACATACTAGTGGCAGAGAAGCATATTCCTCTGAAACCGAACCTTCTGCAGGCTGACCCCCACTGACACTGGGCAATGAGCCAGTTCTCCTGATTCCAAGAAGACCAAAACCCTTTAGCGTCGAGTCCGTAGGAATCCTGTCATACGACCTTGTTTAACTTTCTGTTAACTAGTGTAGCTTGCGGTCTTTATTAACTCACTTGATATCAATCTGTGCTGCTGCTGTGTTTTCACAACTAAAGAAGCTATGATATGCGTTCCTTAAATGATTCACTTCCCATCTCAACATTTTTAATACAATCTCGACCAATGGTTAAAAGTTTACCAAGATCACGTAGACATTATAGCTTTAGGTGGCACACTTATGGACCACCCACAGCTCATTCACTAGGGGTGCAACGGTTCTCGGTAAAAAAAATCGAACCGTACCGTTCTCCACACACGGTTCGGCATGCACTAAGACCGCGGTTCAACTTAAATCTGACAATGCATCTGTAATATGGTTTGTTAGAGTTCGGCTAATGCATGTTTCTGTTGATGGATACAAATTCTGGCTTACCAATACATTACAACAAGAGCGATGAGAGGAAAAAAAATAATTCGTGGACATACCAGTCACTCTTTGTTCAGTGCGAGTGCTGTATATTGGAATAACTGTAATTTATGCCGTCATCACATGTTGATAGCGCAGGTGAGACCTGAACAGCACATGTTGCTATCTGTGTTTAAACTAAACTCATTTAAGCCTGGCCAGTTTAAATATTAAAGAGCCAGTAGATGCAAACTCACGCACACAGTGAGATGATATCCGTGCGCTCATCCGAAGCGTGTTAACCCGCGTCTCAGAACGCGCGCAAATAATAAGTTGTACAGTGGATCAGACTTTATCCTGGTAGTCAAAAGTCTTGACAGGTGAGACTCTGGTAACATTAGCAGTAATGTAAACTAACAGTTGATATTATAGTGAAAATGATTCGCAGACTACTCATTTTCTATGTAGTGAACTCGTGTTGATGAACATTGATAAGGAACTGGTTTCTTCACATACTCCAGCCTGAAGTAACCCATGTGCTTAGGTAACCTCTGGTTTCAAAATGAATTGAATTTCAGACTGAGATTCATTGTTTCTTATTTCAGCCACCCTCATTTTTGAGATGACAAAATCATGATTACTGTGTTTTTGATAGTGTTGAAAGGTGTAAAACCTGTTTAAGTCACTGTAATCATGTAGCAGTTAAAGATACTCCTTTGAGCTGAAGACAGATTCTTAGGGTTGAGCCGAACATTTTTGGAGTGACAGTATTAGCATCACTCCCTGTCAAAGTAGCTCTCGACTTGAGTTTCTTGTTTCTCTTTTAGTCAAAACCTGTAAGCACATTATTTCTAGTAGTTGGCACAGCCCAACAACTAGTCTGGTCACATTTCACACAGATTGCTTTGTAATTTTGTAACCATTTTCTGTGGGTTTTAGCCCTTTGCTTTTTTGTCTTGCATCTAAGCTGGTAATGATACCATTAGTGTGTTTATTAACCTCCAGTATATCCTGATAGTTTATCAGTGTTCGTCAATAGTGATGCTTGTGTTTATCCACTATGATAACACCAGAGTCAATGATGATAATTGCCATAATTTCCAAAGCCATTTTGTTTGGACACTTGCTTGTGGTACTTGTTTTTCACACAGTGAGAAAGTGAAAAACCATTCCTTATGTTTCTCACTGTCTCTTCTTTTATTCTTTACATTCCCTTATGCTTACATTCCCTTAGACTATCTCCATCACTCACTTTCAATCAGTTTCCTTCTTTCTCTTGAATAGAGTAACAGGTGGTCTCCCTTAAGCATGTGGCTGGTGAAAAGAGAAAAGGAGGAATTATTTTCTCTATTAGTGTCCATTCCCATTCCAGATGCTCTTGGCTTCACTTGAGTAATCCAATATCCTTATAGTTCCATAACATATGCCCTCTGTCACTCAGTGTCATTTATGCTCAATGGAACCCACAAATGTGACCCGAATTCATGGACATGTAACCAATACATTCGTGGAAAAAATCATGTGTGGTCTTTAGAATGTATATATTTCCATAGATTACTAGGAATTCAGCAGTTGTGTTTTCAAAATAGACCAACAATTGACCTTTCACTAAGCTCCGCCCACCTTAAGTTTGATTAACTTGCCATAGAAATGAAGTGGTGACTTCTGTGATTTTATTAAATAATTAATTTTGTTTATTTTATTTTTTAATTTTATTTTTCAAATGCTTGTCCTATAAAGGATCACAAGGAACCTGTCCCAGGCTTTGCACAGAAAAGCATCCTGGATGGATGACCGTGTATTTTATTTTTGTTTTTTTTGTTTTTTTGTTTAGTGTTTTGTTTTGATGCGCAAACTATCACAATCTCAAAAATAGAATTATTATTTACATTTCTCCTCCTTTTGTTTGTGTAAAGGGATTGGCTCATACTTCAAATAATTTCTTCGTTAAGCTCTATTCCTGTGGCCTGTTTATTTAAGTCTGTAAGTGTAACCAAGTCTTGTTGTGGGTTTTGAGATTGTATTTTTAGGTCATTCAGACTGGATTGTTTCAGGTGAAAAGTTCACAAGTATTTGCTGGTTTCTCTGTAAATGTGTAATCTGGTTCAGTCTTTTAGAGGATGTAAAAAATGGATGTAATAAATGTCAGTCATTAATCACTGAATGGTGCAACTTTGGGTTTCTCAAGCTCCTCGTGTATTGTTTTGTTGCCGATGGGGAATTCCTATTAGCAAAACAGAAAGTTGTAAATTATAGATCTTTCTTTTCTTGGGTGCTGCCTTAAAAAAAATGCTGCTGGACTGGTGTCTTGTGTACCTGTGAAGGAAAATGGTTTAAAAGACAGGCTTTATACTGTATGTAATGTATAATAACACAAACAACCTGAGCCTCCTTTGGCGATGAATCATGATGTAGAGACATTTATTGGCACACATATCATATAGAGAGACCTACAGAAACAGCAGGATTGGTGAAAATGTGTTTTCAGATTTCAACAGTATTTCGTCTTGTCTAAACTAGTTCAACTTTTGAACCCAGACAGAAAAGATAAATGACCACAAGTTGTCCAAAGTCTGCATTTCACAATTTGAAGCTGTTTGAGAAGGTCAGTCGAGAAATGTCATCTTTATCTGTTTGACTTGAGCAAAGTGCTTCATAAATTGTAGCAGGGTGGAGGAGCATGATG